CACATGTGAAGAGCAAAGGATGGAGAAAGATATACCATGCTAAGAAAATTCAAAAAAAAACTGGAGTAGCTACACTAGTTTCAGACAAAGCAGAGTCTAGAAAAAGGAAAATTATCAGAGATAACTAGAAGCATTGTATAACACTGTGCCCTCCAAGGGGGCATAGCAAACTCTAACATACATGCACCTAACAATACAGCATCAAAATACGTGAGGCAAAAACTGATAGAACTTCAAAGAGAAATAGATAACTCTGCTAATATAGTTAGATATTTCAATACTTATCAGTAATTTCAGATGCAACAGGCAGAAAAATCAGTAAGGATATAGTGTAACAGAACAGCACAGCTACCATCTCAGGTCTGATCCTTGGGGCATGCCCTCCAAAGAGATCGAGGGAGCTTAGTCTCCTCTTTCTGGCTTCCTGGATCATGATATAAGTAGACTGCTCTGCCATGTACTCACAATATTGTGTGCCACCCTCACTAAAGGCAGAAAGTTAAACATAAAGGCCTGGAGACAGGTGGCTGAGGGTTATATGAAAATCAAAGAAGACATGCTATTGTTTTCTTTTTTCCTTCACTTTCTTAATCATTAGCTATAGATAAAATCCACATGAGCCTATGGTTTCAAACTTTATCTCAAGAGAATGTAACACTATCTGAGCATGCTGCTAAGTTCTGGCCTCCATACAAAGTGCTAACCATGGATGAAGAGTTTAAAAAAAACTTCAAGTCTCAGAAACAAATAAATGGAAAACATCCACTAACAGAGTACATAAGGACCTTCTTCCCTCTGAAGTAAGTCAACACAGCCCATTTTTCTTGAAACACAGTGACCTTGGAAGAAGAAAGGCTATTCCTTGAAAGACTGAACTAAATAAACAAATATAATCTAATACCTCATTCAGTGCAATTGCCATCATTATTCTCTATCTCTGTCTCTCTGTCTGACTCTGTTTCTGTTTCTGTCTCTGTCTCTCTATATTTCTGAAAATCTATTATTTTGCAATAAATTGTACCAATATTCCATACGATGGTCTGTGTATCTTGTCTGAAATCTTTCATTGAGGCAGCACAGAACAAGGGTCTCAGAGTGTGGCTGGTTCTTCACGGTGCCAGACCTCACAATGCCAAGGAACCAGCTTCCTAGTGACAGTGCCACTAAATCTTGGACCACAGCCTCCAAAACCATGGGTCAAATAGACCTTTTATAAGTTAAATGGCTCAGGTATTTTACTATAGAAATGGAAAGCTGACAACGCATTGGTCTAAAATAGGATCTAAGAGGAAGAAAGTTTCAGACACTAGGCAGTGGAAACCATCTCAATCAGTCCCAAATGTTACCGGAGAGTTGGAAAACCATTATTTAGGTCAGCTCCCAAGAAATCCTTTCTGATTAACCTGCATGCCATAGTTATTTACTGCAGTATCCTTAGAACTCAGCATGGCATATAGTGGAAATTCCTTTACAACATATTGGTTCAATATTTAAATTCCACTTTGAGACATGATTCATGTAGAATGTCTTTTGGTCCTCAAGTACCTTCTACATCACAAATTCTTAATTTGGGGTCCAGAAAACCTCAAAAGTTATGTGTAAAATATAGACATAAACATAAACATGTGGAGGTGGAAATGACCCATAGCATTTATCATATTCTCTAGAGTGTGCAAGATTCCAAACAAGTTAAGAAACATCGAAGTAAATACAGAACCAAGTACTGCTGGGGAAAACAAATTCACAATGGCCAGAATTACATATTTCCCTAAGGCATGAATAGAAGTTTGGGAATTTTGGTAGCACCCTTTGAGAGGTCCCTTATCCCATCAGGGAAGAGCCATTCTATCTCACCTATTAAGACTAAGACTAACAGACTAAAACTAAGGCCAAGACTAACACTAAGACTACTAAAACTAAAGATGCTTCAAGGCAAGATCCTTATTAGTTTAAGATCACCACTGCCCTCTGATATTCCTTCCTCAGTCTATAAATGCTAGGTCCTGGCTGCTGCATGGCCTTTTGTTCCTCATGATCAGCTGGTCATCTTGGATTCCCACGTACCACCATTTTGCTCTTTTTCTTTCTTTCTCTCTTCCCACTGTGCACTATAATACTTGGCAGGAAATGGGGGCTCACTGTAGGAGTCTCCAATAAAGTACTCTGAAAAGGTCATGCTAAACAACCATTCAGAGAAGTTCATTTTATCCAGAGATGCAGACTCTCGATGGATACTGAGATGGGAAAAGTAGAAAATCACCAAGAAACACTCTACCCTCCATCACCTGTCCCTTTCGTGGACTGAAAAGTCATCTGAGTATCAAAGTGTTCATTCTTCTGTAATCTATCCTGTACAATCCATTCATTGATTCAGGCAATGATAAGAACGCACTATATGCCAAGCTCTGTACTAGACTCTGGGGCCACATCAATCTCTCTGAAGTGCATCTTATATCTGTGTTCTCCATACCTCACCCAGTGCCCAGCAAATCTCAATAAACAGAAGTTGCCATAGGCAGCGGGACAGCAGAGCAGCTGACTTTCTGCCAGCTGGAATCAGAAAATGTGGACGCAAATCAAGACTCATCCACTTCGGTGCTGCATGACCATGGGCAGGTCGTATCGTCTGAGACCAGATTGCTCTATATGTGAAGCAGTGAGAACTTACATCAATGGGTCCTGTGGGAATTACAGGAGCTCATCCATGCAGAATCTGGGGCATCCTGTATGCTCAACGTGACCCAGTGATTGGACTTAAAATCATTACCAAAAGTCACACAGCACACTCAACCCTCTAGTCTCCAGTCCAATTTCTCAATATGGGTTAATCAGACTACCTCTGCCTATTCCAGGCCAGGATCCTAGGAACTAGCAATGGTGTGATTTCAGAGGATGTAGAACACCAGCTAGCAAAGAAGAAGGAAAACTGTCAAAAAAAAGAGAGAGAAACTGATACATATCCATATGCCAGGCATTAAAGATACAGATCTAAGTAAATTTCAAGGGGCAGGAGATTTAGCTCAGCGGCATAAGCGCCTGCCTTATAAAGCAGGCAGTCGTGAGTTCGATCCCCCGTACCGATAAAAAGGAAAAATACAAAAAAAAAAAAGAAAGAAAGAAAGAAAAAGAGAAAAAATGCTTAAGTAAATTTCAGAGTAGACTAATAAATATTTCCCAGTGAGAAAATGTATCTGTGTTGCAATTTTCTTGTATGCATAAACTTTAGAGAAATTAAATAGGCACAGATTTACTTCTTTAGCTATAGTGATACGATTATAAATGTTATGTGACTGGTATGTAAGTATTTCTCTTTTCCATTTTCATCTTTCAAAAACTTTCTTTTTCCTCAAATCTATCACAGGCATCTCCCACAGCAGTGTCTTTCTCCCATTAGACAAGTTTTCCAGGGCCCAGCATCCTCTCTTCCAGCAGACATTTTTGGATTTGACATTCTGAAAACCTCAATATTCCTGTGCCATCAGTTCATCTTTACATGCATCCTGTGTGTTGTACTCTAAGAAAATAGCTTCGTTATATGTGTATTATAGCAAACCTGTAAAGTGGCTTACTAAATGTTTTTTTTATCCTTTTTCCTTAACTGATATGTTAAGTGACCTAATTGATATGTTGAGCAATACTCTCCTCTGTAAAGAATTGCAAGAATCTCACCTAATTGATATGTTAACCATTGTTGCCCTCTCCAAACTACAGAAGTTGTGCTAAAACAAGCTAACAAGGGTTGTTAATCACTGTTAAGCGCCTCTATTCTCCGCTAAAGAGCTAAGAAAAACTAGAATGGCCCATTAATTTATACTTGTATAAAGTAACCTGCTTGTATGCAGAGAGATTTGTGTAGGAGTTTAACTCTTTACCCTGACCTTGACACATAACTGCCGTTTTCTGTTCTGTATGGCGCCTTATTGCCTCCCTCTCCCCTCACCTATCTATCTAGGCCATAAAGAATTTGGGTTTCTGGTGACCTCTCCCCGACCTGGTGATGATCTGTCATAAAATGAGCCTGCCCCAATTTTAAGAACAGCTTAGCTTAAAGAAATTACCGGGTAATACTATGGCCCAAACCCCGATCGGTGCTTTCCTTTTGTTCTGTATGTATCAAATGAGTTAGATATCAGATCTTTGTAAAACTTAAGTTCCAGCGTCTCATAACTCGTGACCCCTTCGCACTCACTAGCGAAAATGAGCTGTCCTGGGATAATTAACTTCCCCACTTTCTTCTCCAAATATTGCTGCAGACGTGCCACTCTGAGATAATGTCGGTCTGCAGGATGTGAGTAATTTGAAAAACACCGGAAACACCCGAGATTGTCAGAGTTTCCAGACTGGGGTCAACAAGTTTGGTGGCTCTGCAGGTTTCTTTGTTCCTCCCCCCATCCTTTTCCTCCAGCCTCTTTTTAAAGTCATCCCTTCAGTCTCTGGGGGAGTCTCCAAATTGGCTCCCGGAGACTGGTTGCCAGGCCTGGAAATAAAGCGTTTGCCACCTAAATTTTCGGTCTCTTGCCTCCTTGGATTGTATACCGGGACCCAAGTTATAACACTGTGTTTATTATGATTTCCTCAATATCAATATGGGGTTCCTTCTTTAAATGACTGTTAAGCTACCTGTCTGTACGCAATGCCATTTATGTATTATATTGTGTGTAAATGTAAGGTTATAGTCCCAGGAATAATTATTAAACCTAAGTTCACTTTCATTTCCCTTATTTTTCTGGCACACAGAGTCACTGTTCTAGACTTCTAAAATTTGCATTGATTGAAATATTTTGAGGGCAATGTGTTTTCCTCCAATCTCTTTGCTCTTCAAAATGAAGACCTTCAGAAAATAGCCCCCTGACGAGAAAGGAATTCTAAAATGTCCTAAACAGACAGGCCCGAGAATGGAAGGAGGAGAGAGAAAACAGACATTCATTTTAGCTGACAGCTTTAAGCCAAATCAAGGAAGAAAAAGGAAACAAAAACAAACAGGAACTGGCTCCACCTCCCTTTCCTGAGTGCTTGTCAAAGACCCCATCAAGGCCACATTGCACTCTTTGTCAAAAAGCAAGCAAGAAGCAGCAAAACTTGCCTTTACGGATTTCCCTCCTGTCCCAGGGCTTTGCCAGCTTCCATTCTGCCTCTGATAGGTATAAATAACTTTTGTTTCTTCTCTCCAAAACTTCGGGTGCATGTTACATCCAATGAATGTTTTTAAGTGCTATCTGGTCGGGCTGCTGGTAGCTTAGGGCATCTGTCCCAGGCCTGCTCCTTTTACTACTAGCTGTTCCCCCAAACCCTCTATTTCACAGACTCTTAGTCCCAAAGTGTTTACCTAACACTCCCCACACAGGGCTTCTTAAAGACTCCTTTCTTCTTCTAGTTTTCTGAGATCAGAAGGTTCACCTGAGAGAACAGGGCCAACCTTAGGAAGGATGGGTGAGAATATCTTGCCTCAGGACCCCTTCCTTCATTAAGAACAGTCACGCTGTCACTCCCTCCCCCCAAACAGGCAGCTCCCAAAGACAGGGTACAGGGGTGGTGCGCTCCAGGACACTGGGAATTCCCGAGGGAGGTTCCTCGGGCATTCTCGGCTCCATCCCTGAACCCACATCTCCTCACAGCCTAGGAAGAAAATTCTGCGCGACTACAATTTCGGTTTCCAGTTTCGGTTTCCAGTTCGCTTTCAATTCCCGCCTGAAGGCCGGCTGCACGTTGGCGTTACTCTGGAGGGAGGAGCGAGCGACGTGTTGCAGAGGATTTCTGCACAATCCTCCAGACCTCTCTGCACCGCGAGCAGAGGAAAGTAAATCTCCGCCTCTCGTTCTGGGTCCTACTAGGGGGCTGGGCAGAGACAGAGATCCCCGCACAGATGGACCCGACCCCGGACCTGTATGCGACCCCTGGCGACAGGCTGGACGCCTTCCTGGAGCACAGCCTTCAGCCCCGCTGGGATTGGAAGGAAGAAGGACAGGATGCCTGGCAGAGAGTCGAGAGGTTCTTTCGGGATCAGTGCTTCCGGGATCAGCTGGTTCTGGACCAAGAAGTCAGAGTGCTGAAGGTTCTCAAGGTGAGCTCTCTGCATCCTGGGCGCAGGTTCCGACCCTGCCGCGGTGGGGCTTTGGGACACTGAGGGGAGCAGGAGCCAGGAGGAGAAAGACTCTGGCGATCCAGTTCTCCGAATGTCAAGGAGCCAGATGCAATGTGGCCAGCAGGCCTCTATTATAAAATATGTCCTTTGTAACTTCTTGCTTTAAAACTCCCACTTTACCTACAAGGTGAAAAGAAAAGCTCATGGTACTGACTGCCTGTGTCAGAAACTACAAACTACCAGAAGACACTTAAAGTTTGAGGGGTTTTTAGGGGCTGACCAAGCATGGTTTCTCCTAGGAATGTATTGAACTATAATTCAACTTTTTTATGCTGTTCTCGATATAAAGTGTTTGCACCAGAAGCCTAGCATTTGTTTATTTCCCCAGATTGAAAGACTTTGCCCATTAAGTTAAGCAGATCAGATGTGCCTGGTGTGATAAGGGCTGCAGAGACTAAGACTAATGAAGAACTCAAAAGCCTTCACAAGCATTAGCTACAGATCATGAGCTTCAAAATCAGAAAGTCGGCTTCCTGTAGTTGCTTTAAAAGATACTATTTGCACTTCTGGACTCTTAACGCCTGCACACCTCTGAACTTGGTGTAGGGTACCTTTACTGTATCCACCTCTTTGCCTGTATTCTCTGACTCAAACAGCAAAAACTGAAATCCCTACCAGAACCAGAAACGCCATACACATTGTCTTAAGGATGATTCTGAAAGTGCTCAAGGGTTTTCACTATGTTCTAAACAAAGCTGTCCTACAGATTCGAATGTGTGTTTTTAGTGGGATATTCCTTTTATGTTATTCCAAATGCCCATATCTTGAAGGTCCTATTTCTGCCTTTACCAAGTCTGTGAACCAAGTAAGGACTATTCATTTATACAGGATAAAGATATAGTTTTATTTTTCTTCTTACTCTTAACAATCTCTGTTTCCAGAAATTGAAGCACTCCTAAAATAATTATCATGTCCTGTCTTGAGCAACATAAAAAAAATGCCTTAAACAAAGTTACACTGAAGCTAAAGACCTTATTTGAAAAAGGAAACTGGTAGATAAGCAATAGCATCAGGATATATGTATATATAGTGTGTATTACATATGTTACATTTCACTTTTATATTAAGAGGAAGGAACACAAAACACTTTTCTCTCTACCCTTGTTGGCCTCTTTAGCCATGACATTTTTTTACAGTTGCCTCCACTTTTCCCGGGTTCATCCATCCATCCATCCATACTGGTGAGAGAATGATGTGTTTTTCTATAGTCAAATGTATGGATCCATTTGATTTCCTCTCATGAGTGGGACAGAGAGTCTTCAAGTACTAACAGTAACTTTTGTAAGGATTTCTCTTACTATATTTAATCACCACCTCCACCTGGGCCCCATATTCCTTCTTTTTCTACTCTTTCTACTTGTATTATTTCTACACTTTCTACCCTTTTCTACTCTTTCTATTCTTTTCTACTCTTTCTACAATGTATTCTTTATTACACAAATAATACATTGAGTTACAAAGATATAGGAAAATACATCACCTTATAGATCTTACTGCTTATACATAAGCATCATTAATGTTTCAGTACACTATGACCACACTTTCGGTTATATAAATAATTAAAAAATATTTTCTTTCATCTCTGTTGCTAAAAGAAAGACTTTAGACAAATTAAATTCAATAGACTATACCTGAGCAAAAAAAAGGTTCATGAATCGGGTTGTCACTCAGAACCAGAGGCGCTTCAATGAGCAGATGAGCAGTAAGCTCAAAAGCCAAAAAAAGTGGGGTGAACACAGGGACAAAGTAGTGAAATCACTGTTTGGTAGGCATCTGTCTTATATAGGCAGAATTTTTCATATTTGGCTGTGGTCTGATCAGTCCAGTGACAGTCACTGGCTGAAGCTTAGCTATTTTTGATTGGCTGAAACCTGGTTCCATGTTATACTCCTTAAGTCAGGATTTGGTTTACTTGTATACTAATAATACAGTTTGTTATGTAGAAAATCAAAGGACAGAAAGCCTCAGAATAATGGCCTCCTGCTTATTTAATTTTGCAATACTTATGCTTATTTCTTAAGACACCATAAACTTCTATTCCAGCCAAGATGGAGTAAACAGCTTACAAAGTATCTCTGTTACAAATTACAGCCAAAACTCTGGATGAATATCAAAGAGCCAGGACTTCGGAACTCTGAAAATTAAACTGTAAGAGGAATAATGGGGACTGAAATCAGAACTTGAGCGACCTAAAACAAGGGTGACTGGACTGCAACAAGCTATTAAGACACACAGAGATTTAAATGGATGCCAAAAGCTTTGAGGAAAGTCAGTCTAAAAAGGTTACATACCTGTGGTATGATTCCAGGTACCACTGGCCCCTGTCCAACAGAGACTTAATTCCTGGAATGTGCACCCCTGCCCATACCCACGGTTACCAGAGTCCAAAGATGCCCAAGTCCCTTATATAAAATGATGTATTATTTGCGTATAACCCACCTACATTCTTAATTTTAAACCATCTCTAGATGACCTGTGGTACCTAAAATGATGTAATCGCTATGCAAATAGTGTTTTGTGGTATTGTTAGGGAATACTGCCGAGAAACAAGTACGTACATGTTCAGCACAGACTGTATTTTTCAAGTATCTTTTGCCTGAAGTTGGTTAAATCTGCTATGTGGCACTTTTGTCACAAAGGGCTGACTATATTTGGTGAAACAATTAAAAACAGTGATACAATAATAAAAATAATACAAATAAAATGATGTAGTATAACAGGTATTTACATATCACCTTGCATCAGCAATAAAAAGTAAACTAGAGATTGAGACACACAGGAAGCTGTGCATAGATAATGCGCAAATACTCCGCCATTCTGTATAAGGGACTTAAGCATCCTCAGATTTTGGTATTTGAGGAAGCCCTGAAACCAATCCTTTGGGATAAAAAGGGACCACTGTATGTGGCACTCTCAGAATGACAAGATTATACAAATAGAAAACAGATTGGTGTTTCGAGGGTTTAGGGATGGTGGAAGGGAGGGAAGCGTGTGGTTATGAAGCAGCTGGATGAGGAACATCCTTCTAATGATGGAGTAATTCTGTATGTGGATTGCAATGGTCATTCTGTACCTTGATTTTCACAGGAATCTACACACAAGGTAAAATGTGGCATCAATGTTGACCTTCTGGATTTACTATTTTCTGTAAAATGTGCTGGCAGGGAACACATGCCTGTAATCCCAACACTCCAGGAGGCTGAGGCAGGAGAATCACAAGTTCAAGCCCAGCCTGGGCAATGTAGCGGCTTAGTGAAAATCTGTAGCAAAATGAAAAAGGAGCAGGGGATGTAGCTCGGTGTGAGGGCCGTGTGTTCCATCTCCGATAACAGATGTAACTGTTGGGAAGACTGGGCGAAGTTCACAACCAACCTCTCTCCTGTCTTTATAACTTCCTGTGAATCCATAATTATTTCAAAGCACAAAGTCTAGAAAATGTTTGTACATACACCCATATATCTGTTTATACAATATATATTGCACAAAACATTCAGAAAAATGTTTAGCCAGAGCTGTCCAATAGAACTTTGTGCCATGATAGAAATGCTATCTATGCCACTGTCTTTGGGCAGCTACTGAACATTTGAAATAAAGCTATTTTTATTTCATTGTGGTTAATTTAAATTTAAAAGGATATCTGTGGCTGCTGCCTACCACGTTGGCTAGTGCAGGTCTCGGAGTGGAACATTTAAGATGTTGGATAAGATGCTGGTAACTGGCTGTCTCTGGCGAAGGGGTTAAGGTCCTTGGAAAGAATGGAGTTTTACATTTCATTTATAGCTTCTCAATTGCTTATTAGGTATTTGATTTTTACAATCCAGTGAAAAGATGTAGTATGAGTTTAATGTCTCTTCAGAGAATGCTAGGGAACAGAAGGGTTTGAATTTTGGATTTTTTTCCTCAGATTTTAGAGTATTTGCATGCACATAATGAGACTCCTCAAGGGATGATGTCTACGTCTGAACATGAAATCCATATACGCGTAGTATCTTTTCTCTCTGCTTTGATTTAAATTTATTTTTTAATTTTTATTTTTATAACTACAAGCTTGCAGAACGTAATGATTACATTCTCCATAGAGAGTTGGTGCATGTACATAACACATCTGAATTCTCTTTCCATTCCCTTCCCCTCCCCTCCTTCATCCTTCCCTCCATCCCTGGTTCCCTTCCGTGCTGCAAAATCAATCTCTCTTTCTCTGTCTCTCTGCTTCTCTCTTATTTATTATCTATCTTTTATTTTGCTCTTTCATTTATTTTTCCCTTATGAAGTATGCTTAGTCTGCAATTTTGTGCAATATTTGTACATTTTGACTGTGATGTCACATGAGGTCTTGTGGAATTTTCCACTTTTGGTGTCCTGTGAACACACAAAAAGTTTTGGATTTTGGAGCATTTTGAATTTCTGACTTTTCAGTCAGACATGCTTAACCCATAATGCTTACAACAAACTCACTGTGTATGATAACAGCCAAGGGCTTCTTTGGGGGGACCCGTATGTAAAGGCTGCCATGAGGGCTTCTTCCTTGCTTGATCTCATGACCTGCCAAAAAGCATCAACCACAAAGCATCGAGTCTCAGCAGAAATAAGGTTCTGCATTGTCATCCTCCACAGGCCGGCTCTTTCGGGAAGGGGACGACACTGAACCATACCTCGGATGTCGACATGGTTCTGTTTCTGAGCTGCTTTACCAGCTTCCAAGAGCAGGCAAAGCACCGAGGAACCATCATTGACTTCATTAAGGAGAGACTGGATCACTGTAGTGAAAGCCTGGCCTACAACATCACGGTGGTTCACTACAGACAGGGATCCAGGAAACCTCGCTCCCTAACCTTGCAGGTCCAGTCTAAGAAGAGCAGTGATGTCATTCGCATGGATGCGGTCCTGGCCTTCGATGCTCTGGGTAAAGATGGTGGTGGGTGGCGGGTGGAGCCCCTTTACCAAATGGCTTCAGAGTTTTGGGGAATGGAAACCAATGGACTTTGCCCTTTTTCAGGGAGATTGGGTTGGGGCTGTCCTTTGAAGAATTAAGTCCTTCAATAAATACACATGTTACCATGTCTCAGTATTGCCTGAGAAAGGGGGTTTCTCCGAAACAATGAATTTCTACCCACCCTAAGGAGAAAATACCTGTCAAACTCTATTTTTTATTAGTTATTTATTTATTTATTTTTGCACTAAGGATTTTTAAGCCCAGGGTCTTCACACTGAGCCACATCCTGATCCCTTTTTTATTGGGGGGCCAGGCAGGGTCTAGCTAAGTCACCAAATTTCCCAGGCTGGGCTTGAAGTTTCAATCTTCCTGCCTCTGCCTCTAAATGGTAAAACTACTTAACACTTTGTTAGTCAGTTTTTCTCTGCTGTGACAAAATACCTGAGAATAACACTTTAAAGGAGGAAAGGTTTATTTTGGTGCATAGGTTTTAACTCCAGGGATTCATTGTTTGTGGGCCTGTGTCAAGGCAAAAACATCATGGCAGAAAAACACAGAAGAATACAATTACTCTCCTCCTGGCAGCTGGAAACCAGAGAGAGGAAGAAAGAGTGGACAATGGGGAAGAGGAGGATATGGGAGAGGGGCAAGGGACAGGAAAAGATCCTGAGAGAAAGGGGTCAAAGATACGATGTAGCCCCAAAGGCCATGCCCAGTGACCCATTCTCTTAAGCTAGGCTCCGTCTCCAAAGTTCCTCACCTCCCAATAATACCATCAAATTATGAATCCAACTGATGAAATTAGAGTCCTTAGGGTCTCATCACCTGCCCAAAGCCCCACCTCTGGAAATTACTGCATTAGGGACCAAGATGTCACCACATATGCTTTTGAAGGACATTCCAGACACAAGCAGTAACACACCTCCAAGACCGAGAATACCAACTGGTTAAATGGGCCAGTACCAAATGTAGGTAGAACCATATAAAACTAGTTACTTGACCATGTTTCACCCATGCAAAGGGCAATGTCCTATGTTCTGCTTAAATTTACCTACTTCATGGAGCTGTTAGCCTGAGGATTCCCTGAGTTTAGCTCAGTGCCTGACATATTGTATGTTTTTGGTCAATGCAAGTTATTTTAAATCCATGTGTCTTTTGGGTGTGCTACCAAACCATCTAAGCCTCCATTTGTTTAGCTATAAATCGAGAAGGGTAATACTATAGTGAGAGCTGCCTAAAATGATTTATGCACATGCTGTGCTCTTTCCATGTTCCTCCCCTCAAAGAGTAGAGGAAGAAGGGGTGGGCACTGGACAGGGTACAAGTGGTGAATAAATACTTTTTTCCTCCCAGGACCCCTTTGCCCAGACTCTAAACCAGCACCAGAAATTTACGAAGATTTAATAAGCAGCTACAGTCATCCTGGGGAGTTCTCACCAAGCTTCACAGTGTTGCACAGGGACTTTGTCAAAAGGCGCCCTGTTAAACTGAAAAACCTCCTGCGGCTGGTGAAATTCTGGTACCTGAAGGTGAGAGGGTGTGCATTGGGCTGGGGGACGCAGAGGTGAGGAGGAAGAGCAGGGGAGTGCCACCCAGTGGTTCTTTTTTTTTTTTTTTAAAAAGAAGGAGAAACAAAAAAAGAAACAATTAGCTAAGGGTAGCAGGCAGATGAAACCACGGAAGTGAATTACTAGTGTAGTTGGAAATTATTTGTAACCTATAGAACGGAGATCCGCATCCCCAGGGTCACAAACCAGTACCAGCTCATGGCCTGTTAGGAACTTTGCCCGCAGCAGGAGGTGGGCAGTGGGTGAGCCAGGGAAGCTTCCTCCCCATCTGTAGCCACTTCCCCTTGCTCGCAGCACTGCCCGAGCTCCGCCTCCACTCAGATCAGCAGCCGCTGCTCTGAACTGCACATGTACGGGACTCAGGTTTACATTCCTTGTGAGAGTCTAATGTCACAAGAACAGAAATAAAGTACATGATGTAATAATAATAGAAATAAGTACACAATAAACGTAAGGGGCTTGAATCATTCCCAAACATTCCACTTCTCCGTTATCCTGCAGAAAAAGTGTCTCCCACGAAGTGGATCCTGAATGCTAAAAAGTTAGGGAAGCTGCATGGAACACCAGACAGCCTTAGTGGTAGCCGTAATTGTTGGTGATGGTGTTTATTGTTGCTGTGCTCTGTTGTCTTCTGAAGCATCCTGTCCTGCTTAAAGCCTCCTGGTTTTAAGTACCTTAAGGGCAATTAAATAGTTCCTGGTGAGCACAAATATGATTTTCAATAAGTTTGAGACCTCAGGTATTTCAGATATCAGTAAGAACAACTACCATTTATTGAGTACGAATTATGTTCCATGATTTATGCTACATACAAATGCTGTATATTTTTCTCACTCGTGTGTGTGTGTGTGTGTGTGTGTGCGTTTTGCTGGGAAATGATTCCATAGCCTTGTGCCTGCTGGCAAGTGATCTACCACTGTGCTCCACCTCTACCTCTTTTTGTTTTGAGGCAAGCTCCTTAAGTTGCCCAGGCTGACCTGGAACTTGCAATCCTCCTGCCTCAGCTCCCCCAACACCTGAAATTATGTTCAACTCACTGCATCTTGTTACCTACCCTATAATGTATGCATTATTTATTATTTTCATTTTGGAAATGAAAAAACTGAGCTAAAATGGGGCTCAAATTTGAATACAAGCATGTCTGCCGCTTGTGATCATGATACAAAATATTCTTTATAATGGTAATTATTTTTTCCCTCTGAATATTGCGGTGGACTGATGTTTTAAAAATTGAAACTGGGCATAGTGGCCTGTGCCTGTAATCCCAGTTACAATATTCCATGTATGTAACACAGTTTATCATTTTCTTGGCACTTACGCTTGTATGTGAATTTTTTCCTATGTGAAACTTAAGGCTATTTTATCCTGTTACCAACACCACTGGGATTCCAAGTGAGACTGCAATAAACTTGTAAATGAACTTTGGAGGAACTGCCCTTTTCAGCTTACTCCTTCCCTTTCGTCTTTCAATTTCATCTTCTGCATGTTTTCATTCTCTCCAATTATTTCTATGTTCGTTATATTGCTTTCTCCATTCCAATAAAAAAAACATGGACTGACAAAGCCCAGACGATCCACAAGGGACCTCAGCACCCTCTTTCATTGAAATCTTAGTAACCCCAGGAAAAAAGGACAGCTAGGCCCCACCTTTTCTTGGCTTGGCTTAGCTTGAGCTACCTAATACAACACAGAGACCTGAGGCTTTTTAGAGTGTCAATCATCTCACGTTCTCTCCTCAACCTCTCTGTCCAGTATGTGAAATCCAGGTATCAAAATACAGCTCTGCCCTCAAAGTATGCACTGGAGCTACTCACTATCTATGCCTGGGAAATGGGTACTGACCAGCAAGAGAACTTCAACATGGATGAAGGATTTGTGGCTGTGATGACTCTCCTCAGAGATTATGAAGAAATTTGCATATACTGGACCAAGTATTATGATTTCCAAAGTGAGATTGTTGGGAATTTTATTAAGCAACAATTGAAGAAGACGGGGTGAGTGTCCTGGTTGCATCACTTTCAGCATCAAGAGACAGGAAACTCAACCACAACAGCTTTTGTTTGTCTGTTTGTTTCTTTGTTTGTTTTGTGGTACTAGGGATCAAACTCATAGCCTTGCACTTGCCAGGCAGGCACTCACACCACTGAGCTAAATTCCCATCCAGGAACAGCTTTTTTTGAAAGAAAAAAATTTTTGAAGGAATTGATTGGCTTTTGTAACTGAAAAGCCCCAAGATAAAAGAAGGTTCAGGTATGGCGGGATCCAGAAGTTGACTGTGTCATCAGAGTTCTTTTATGTGAATTGCTCAGCTCAGACTTTCCCAGGATTTTACCTGCAAATGCAGGTTAACTTCGTCATGGTTGCGTCTAGCCTTCTCATCTGGACATATACATTCCAGGATGAGAAGGAACATCCCAAGCAAAATCTCAGAAATTCATTCTGACCAGATCAGCTTAGGTTTCATCTCCAATCCTGAACCAACAGCTTCAGCTTGCAGAGAATCCTTCCTACACAAAGGCGTGCACACTTGCATAGATCTGAGTGCCAAAAGCCAGGGTCCCACATATGACAGGTCCTTTCTTTCCAACAGGCCCATCATCCTAGACCCAGCTGACCCTACCAACAACCTGGGCGAGGGAAGAAGATGGGACCTGGTGGCCCAAGAGGCTGTTAACTGCCTGCGTCAGCCCTGCTGCCGGACTGATGACCCCAGCCAGGGCTGGCATGTACAGGTATGACTCTCCTTCCTATAGCAGGACTCACTTCTGCCCTCATGTTAATCTCAGATGAATCCTCCCAGCACCCAAAGGTCCTGAGACAGGAATCGTCTCCCACAGGTTATGCAGTTCTTGCCTTCTGCGATAAATGTCTGGTCTCCATTCTTTCAGCTACAAAGTGAGCAAGAATTTCTGCTCCGCTCTGTAGCCAACTCAGAGATAGGCTCAGAATATACTCATGTATACATATCCCATGAGGTAGCTTTTCCCCTTTTGTAAGCTGTCAAAAGTGCAACTTCTTGCTATTTAAGCAAAATACTAATAGATGTTTCCCCAAAATATAAAGAGGATCACAGAGCTCTGTTAGGGGAACAACCCTGGCTGCACACCTCCCTGTGGGCAGGTTTTTTCCTTATGAGTCACAGTTGTCCTGAGTCAGCACCCTAAGTAGCAATCCAGTGCTAAGGACCAGGGATAATCTACTTCCCCAACCAGAGCTACACTAAATGAACAGGAACATAAATCTTGGTTCAGTCGGTCTTTTCAGCATAACTAGTATGATGATTCAATAAATGGAAATACTTTATATATCTAGCATCTGTCACAGATATTTTTAGATGCCTTTAGACTTTTGCTATTGTAATAAATGTCCTTGAACTTGTGAAACAGTATAATGTTTAATCTCACAATGGCACTGTGATATCCGATGGAGATACTAACATTTCTACCAGGTAACAGGCAAGGACATTAAATAGTTCCACATGGGAGGAGCGTCTTGGGAGACCTGTTGCCCCTTGTAACTCCAGGGTACTGAACCAAACAACAGAGTTTGACCCAATGATTCTGTAAACCTGGGATGTTCAAATAGTCTCCTTTGCTAGAAAGATCTTATGACTGTTGTCCCACATAACTGTAAATAATGCTTCCCTTTATTTTTGGAAATGTCTCAATAGACAATAAATTAATATCATCAGTGGCCAGAGAGAGCCTTTGGAGATGACAGGCAGTCATGAGCACCCAGATGCCTTTATCTGCTCTTCCTTCCCTTGCAGCAAGCAAGGGACGTGCAGGTGACAGTGAAACAGACAGGGAAGGAGAACTGGACACTCTCAGTGAATCCCTATAGCCCCATCTGGAAGATGAAGGCAGAGATCAAGAAAAGAAATTGTAACACTGGAAATCAGCGTCTATCCTACCAGGAGCCAGGAGGGGACAGGCAACTGCTCAGAAACAAGCACACCCTGGCATCCTATGGGATCTTCTCTAAGGTGAACATCCGGGTGTTGGAGACCTTCTTTCCTGAGATCCAGGTCTTTGTGAAGGATTCTCATGGCCAGAGCAAGCCTTATGCCATAGATCCTGATGACACCATCCTTGACCTGAAAGAGATTATTATGGAAGCTGGAGGACCTGCAGTGGAGGATCAGATATTGAAGTTCCAGGGTCGGACACTGAGAAATCATGAGAGCCTCGACGACCTAGAGATCGAAGACTCTGACACTATCATGCTTATTAGGAGAAGCTGAACGATTCCAGGAGCGCCTGTAATGTAGACTCCCATGGTCCTGTTCCCCACCCCACCCTTTTCTACTCACTGTGCTATTTCTGAAACCTAAATATACACCCCTGCATAAAACCCTCCAATGTCTCCCCATTATCTACAGAGTGAAGTCCTTTCTTACCCCTCAGTCGCTCCTCAGCATTCAGAATACACTGCATGTTTCCTAACATTAGCAATTCCAGAACTCTGACTGCTGGGTCACAACTCCGTCACTTTAAGTCACCTGTCCTCCCTCTCCTCCCTGTTTTCATCTTTCAGTGCCCCAATTTCTAAATCATTGAACCTCACACCAGTACAACCAGCATCGCTTAGCAAGTGCTTAGAAAGGAAAATTCTCAGCTACATTCCCACACTTAACCTGAGTCATATTCCCAGGTGGTCGAACTCAGGAGCCTGTGTCTTAATAGCCCTTCCAAGTAATTCCAATGCGTGCTCAATTTGGGGACCACTGCTGGGTACTCTACACAGCTGACCAAGTCATCCTTTTCCCTTATCCTCTGGCGTACTCAGATCTAAATTCCGAAAAAGCGCCTGAGCCGTCACTATGTCCCTTTGTTAGATCATCTATTTCCTGTCTGATGAGACTTGAGCAAACTATGTCTTACTGCTTCTGCCCCGTGAACTACAGTGGTATCTGCCCCGTATCAACTCTTGGCACATATTTACTGAATAAAGGAATGAGTCCAAAAAAAAGATTTTGAGTCTTTCATTGTGGTCTTTATAGGAGTCTCAGTCCAATGCACTTTTAGAGTCCAGATGGTTGGGGAAGCCTCCAAGCCTGTGTCTCATTCTTTGAAAATGCCCACAATACCCTGTTGGACCTGATCTCCCTGCTCATACCCAGTCCTGCCTTTCCTCTCTGTCTAGACCTAATCATAACACAGGGCATCACGACAGAATCTTTCCAATGCTTGGCTATACTTTGTCAATCTGATTTCAAATCCTGAAGTGTGGTATCAGATACAGTATGGTCTTATCTAGTTAAATGAGGGTGAGCCTGTAAGCAGAAGTGCAGACAAGACTAGTGGGATCTGGACCAAATTAGAGCATTGACCGGAGCCGCAGGAGACAGGAGACCAAACTCGAGCAGGATCAGCTCTCAAACTTTATTGCGTACAGCGAACCGGACCTAACAAGGTCCGCCACCCTCAGTGTTGGTTCCTCTTCCGCCCGTTGGCAGGAACAACCTCTTATAAGGGGAAGCAGTATCCAATCACAGAGAAGCGCGTCTAACAAGCTGATAGGCTAGCGTCACGGGTAACTGGGCAGATATGACAATTTGGCGGGCTTGTTCAGGCCGGGAAGAACCCGGAAGCAGGAAATGGGCGCCATTCATAGGCGGCTTCCCACAGAGCATCACCCGAGCCCATACTTCAGTAAGAGAAACTGCCATCAGCACAGAGAAAGAAGCCACACATAGAGACAAAACCAAAGTCCTCATATGTTCCTACGGAGAGAAGCTATACAGCATCAGGCCTGACTGTTCTTTTCCTATTAAATTGTCCCTAAATCTTTTCCTCATCCCCAGTGGAATAAGCAGCCATTGAGGATGATTTACTTACTGTACTTTCTGCCCCAGGACCTTTCACTGAGATCTACCTCAGCAGCTCAATACAGTTCTTTTCTTTATTCCTCAGTGATGGATTCTGCCCCTACAGGGCTCTGCCAGGCTCACCATGGTGGTGATCCAACATGCCACCTAGAGCCACATGTCCAGCCAAAGCAAACTTCTGTGTTCTTCTAATCCCAAGATCAACTTCCTACTCTTCTTTTGTGTGGATGCACAGAAGATCCTCCAATCCTCTGCCGACACCACCATCCATTCTCCACCCCCAGCCCCACTCCATAAAAGCCATTTCCCAGCTTCCCCTGTTTGAGGGTCCTTGCAATCTCCTGCAGCCCTCCCGCACTAGCAATAAAGGGTTTTTCTTATCTCTGTCTTTGTCTCCCAATGACACCATAAAACCTAACACTCAGTATATTAATTGTTCTATACATTTGTATAAAGACATTTATACCACACTGATTTTTTTTATCGTCACAGTTGCCCTGGAAGTTAGATGAACCAGTTGAAATGATCCTTCCCCACTTTATAGATGAGAATACTGAGACTTAGAGAACAGGAAATGGTGTTTGGAGGGCAAGTTCTATGGAAGGGGAATCATGGCACTGCTGCGGGAACTTCCTGGAGTTTCATACATCATCTGGAAGGAGCACCTTTCTTTCCCACCTTCTCTGCACTTCCCTCAGTAGACAAATGTCCTGAAATCTAGCCTTATCATCCTGCCAAATTACTCAATCTCTTTTAACAAATCTTGTTCCCATCAAGTGACTTCACCCTCTGCTAAACCTGACCCAAGATAGACCTAATCCATTGGCTAGGCTACACCAATCAGATTATGAGTTCTGGGAACCACTATTTTTGGCCATTTTTTCTATGTGCTAGGCATAGCAAAGTTGTTGGCATTTATTTTATTGCAACAGGTTTAGACTGATAATCATTTTCCCAATTATTGAGGATATATAATCCAAACATTAAGCATATGAAATTCTTTACTGAGTGCCTGACATACAATAAGCACTTAATAAACACAGCAGCTACCAATTGTTACTAGTTCAATCCCCACATCCTCCAAGTTCTCCAGGGTGGGGTAGAAGAAATTCTGAAGAGCTGTATCTTCTCTGATCTTGGCAGTTTCTGCATTTCTAGTCCTGCAAAAACCAAATAGCCAAAATAGCAAAAACAAAATAGACGTGGCAGCAATTTCTGTTTCCCCCCAATACTTTATCTCCCTTACTTCCACAGGAATAGGCACATTTTTGTTTGTTTTGTTTATTTAAAGGGTCTTGCTATGTAGTTAGTGCAGCCTACCCTTGAATTTGCTTACACAGTCCAGGTTGGCCTCAAACTCAAAACAATCCTCTTGCCTTGGCCTCTCAAGTACTGGAATTACAGGCGAATGTCACCACATGCTGCAGTAAATGCACCTCTAAGGACTAGAGATGACATTTTCCAGCCTCTGTTGCACTAACCATGACAGTATGATAAAGTCCTGGTGAGTTTTGTGCATATATTTACATGTTATTCCCAAAACCTGCATGTGTCTCTTGAGTCTGGAATCTGCGGGAGCTATCTCCTGATGTGTATCCAGGAAAAAGGATGAAAAAATTGTAATATTTAGGCACTGACAGGATTTCTGTGAAAGTCTCTGGTCTCCAGGTGGCTTGAGACAGGGTACATTTCTGCTGTGGTGCCCAAGTTAGGCAAGGAGACAGCATGTAAAACCAACAAGCCCAAGAGCTGAGCTGCTTTGTCTGAACACAAGGGGTCATCATATACTGAAGAATAAAGATCACCTTATCTACTTCTAAACAGGGTGCATGCATGACTGTGGGCTTCCGGGGGGCTGCAGAAAACAGACAGACACACCAATGTGTCAGCATGAGCTCAATGTCATGGGTGAAGATGGGGCAAGAGAAACCCAAGGAGTTTGATCCAGATCCAAGAAGAGATTCAGAGAAAAAACAAAACACCAGGATTTCCAAGAGGAAAGACCTTGAACTCCTGACCTTTGCATTTCTTTTATAACCTGGACTGACTTTCCCCTCCACCCTAGGTCCCACACCTTAATGGATATTTGCTAATGTCCCATTGGTCAACTCAAGCTGCGTAGCCATGCCCTGATTCAAGGGAAGGGGAAATTGGCCCAACTCCTGACAGACGGAACTGCAAAGACCACACTGCAGAGAGAGATCCATGTGGAGACGGGAAGAATTTGAGAGTGTTTTATTCAGTGCTTTTATTTTCTGTTGCTAGCTACACAATAAAGTACCAGCGAGAGGTAAAGTTGTAAAGAGGTTTATTTTGGATCACAATTCTGGAAGTCTAAGGTCCAAGGGCTACATCCGGGAATGACCTTGTTGCTGGCAGGGTCCCAGGATGGCTCAGAGCATCACGTGGCAAGAGACACAGAGTGACATCTGTGTGCTTCTCCTGGCCTCTCTCCTTCCTATAAAGCCACCAGTACTCAGTCATGGGGCTCCGCACTCATGGCTCTATTAATCACTCCCAAAGGCCCCAGTTTTAAACACCATAGCTGGCTTAACTTTCCGTCTCTTTCATACTGTCCAGTGGGCATGAGACTCCAACAATAAATTTCAGAGAGGGTAAGCCACAGTCAAACCACAGCAACCTTGACTTACACTTTTTCTAACCTATTGTATTCAACAATCTCTCTCCACTTGACAGAAACAATTGCTGTCTCCCAAGGCATTCTCTGTTCCCTCAAAAAGCACATCAGTGGGGGTCCTCCTAACCGTTACATTGCATAAAACAGACCTGGAAGTTCAAAGGTGTTAACAGTCGGCAAGGCAGCCCATAAGCAATAGGCAGAGAAGAAGCAGTGATCCCTCTTCTGGCTCTCAGGGAAACAATTTTTAGGTACGTTCTACACAGCTCCTCAGAAGAGGAATTGAGTCCCAGTTGTCCACAGCAGTTATTGATTTAATACTAGTCCTCAGATGAGCTTCCTCAATGCCCACATTTCCTCCCTTGAAGTCACTTCCAGCACAAAGCGCCCATGTGTGAGCCCTTATCTCATTCTCTGCATTACAGGAGCCCAAGTCAAGATGATATCTGTTTTATACAGGCTGACAGATACATTTTGTCTTCTCACTTTGTTGATAGTTTTTCAGGATTTATAAAAGCCTTTCCCACAACCAGGGAAACTGCTGATACTTGCTAAAGTTCTGTTACAGCAAATCATTCCAAGGACTAAGTTGCTAGACTGCCATTCTGGTTTCGCATCACTCAGGCCCTAGATCTGACCGTCCTTTTCCTGCTCATCTCTGCCTTACCAAGGCCACATGGCCACGACTCACGGGTTGTCATGTTTTGTTATCCACTTTGGTTCCTAATTTCTTACATTCTATTAATGATCATTTTTACAGCAGGACTCTTTAACAGTATTGCCTACAGACACCAACGTCATGCATACCAGAGACAAGCCTTACTGACCTACTTTTTAACTTTTATGCTTTCAGATGGGGGAGTAAGCACCTCTCATAACTTCACTCCTCCTAATCCCACATTTAATTTTCAGAATTCTGCCTTACCGTGGAAATGTTTCTACTTCAACATGGTCCTGATAAAATGACATGTCTAAATCAAAGGCACCTTCCCTTCTACCTCACCTGGGCCCTTAAATATGACAGTACCGTGTCTCCTCGTAACATCTTGTCTGTTTGTTTTTCCAATCTAACATACGTACATTCACCAGTGAAGTTGTCCTGGCTAAAACACCTGGCACCAGCTTCTACCTGGGCATCAACCATCACCCCATTGACTCCCCTAGGCTCCAGGACAACACCCCCTGCCAGCAGGAAGTAGTTACAGAGAGAAATCTTCGCCCCTTTTCATAATAATCATAAGAAGGGATATGAAAGGGTTTTGGCCCAAGCCAGATACTGTAGCCAGTAAAGCCAGGAAACTCCTTAGGAATCTACCTCTGGTGCCAAACAAAGACCAGTGGGCTCCCTGTGCATCCCTAATGCCCCCCTTAGGTTCAACCCCAAGCCTAGGCTACTTATATGCCTCACTCCACGTGTTCCATGGAGAGATCGAAGACCCTGGAGTGGAGATGGCTCACCCTGGGGGGTTGGGGGTGTCTCTCCCCGCATTCTCAAAATAAAGGTGATTTATATTTCATACTTCTTATCTTTTCAGCCGCCGCCGGTCCTCCCCCACAGTTCTATCAATATCCACTTTCACAGTTTCCTCTTCCTGCCCCAAACCTAGCCTACCACCTTCTTATCTACTGGTTCTCCTTCCTCACAGAAGAATGCTCAGCTGAGCAGCATTGCAGCAAAGCATAAAGCTGACACATTGCTGCTTCTTTTAAAATAATGCGTTAGACTTTCTAATGCATTAGTGGCTGAATAACTGAAGGCTGCTTACCCTGCAGTTGCCATGAAAGTGAACAAAAATCTAACACAGAAGGTCAAGATGGTTCATGGTTAGTCATTCTTGTGTCACTTTGATGTTAATCATCTGGAACCATAAACAGGGCAAACAGTGGCATCTTACACTGCAGGTTTGTCAAATTGTCACTACGCTTTATACTGTGACAGCATGGTATTGTTTAAGGGCTAGGTTCTACCAAACATTGGAACTGCTCAAGTTCTTACGAACTTGTAGAATTTGTGTAATAATAAAATGATACGTTCCATTGGAGGTCAGCCAGTATGAAAGTTTCAGTTGAAATCCACTATGATTGACAAACTTTTGAAAAGGTTATCTACACTCCTGATCTCTATCCCTCTCACACCACTTCCTCTTCAACTCCTGGCTTCTGTTCTCACTTGTCACATAAAACTGCACCCACTTTGGTCACCAATAGCTTCCTGGATCCTTCTTCGACCTAGATATCTTCACAGAAGCATTAGAAATATTGCTAGATCTCTCTCATGCATGCTCCTTCTTTTTTCCTTGTTAATGTGCCCCTAAGCAATTACTCCAAGGACAGTATTACTTGGCTTTTCTGTAGCTGGAACAAGATACCTGACATATGCAACTTTAAGAAGAAAAAAAAAAAGCTTATTTGGGCTCATGGTTTCAAAAGCTTCGGTCCATCCTCAGCTAGGCCCAAGCCAGAAACATTGTGGGGGAAAAACATCGTGGAGGAAGACTGCTCAACCCATGGCAGCTGGGATACAAAGAGAGCAGGAAGAAAAAAGCCAGAGAGAGAGGAAAGGGTTGGGGACAAGAAAACACCCTGCCAGGTCACGCCACCAGTGCTCCAGTCAAGTCCTGCTTCCTAACAGCCCATTCAGTGCCCTCATGATCCGACTGCCTTCCAAAAGGCTCACCTCTGAACACCGAAGACTTTGGGGGGACATACTGAACCATAACAAGGACCAAGCCAGGGAGCTGGTGCTCATCCTTGTCTTCCCTCAGTCCCTCTCCTCCTACCTCTAGTTACCAAGTCCTGTCTGCACTTCCTTCAGAAGATACCTGGAAGCCCAGCCCCTCCCTCCACCTCCACTGCCTCCAGCCTGGTCTGGCCATTGTTGCCTCTCACACCACCGCACACCATCCCACCCCATCTCCCGCCATCTACTCTTTGTCTCCTGTTCCCTGAAATCTATCCTCATCATAGAAGCACCAGGTTAAGATTCTAAAGTCTAACTGATCACGGTTTACCACTACTTTCATAATTAAAATCACAGCTGGTTCAATTGGCACCTGACCCAGTGAGTCACTTCCTCTTTCTTAAAACAGTATCTCGCAGCTTCCAAAACATCACTGCAGATTTTCCTCTACCTCACTAGCTACTCCTCATTCTCCTTAGGTGGACTTTTACAATCCCCAAGCTCTGAATAAATCAAAGGCTTTAGGGCTCAGCCCTTGACCTTTCTCTTTGCTTACTCTTCCTGCTTTCCTTCTTCCAATATCTCCATGCTTTAACTATCTCCATGTTGCTCAGTGCCAAGTTTGTATCTCAAATCCATACCTCTTCTTTCCTAGATTCATACATACAACTCTCTACTCCGCATCTCTTGGATCTCTAGTAGACATCTCAGACTTCAAAATTCAGTTCTTCATTCACGTCCATGCTGTGCTCTTCCCCAGCCTCCCCTGCGCTGAAGGCAATTCCATCTTTCCAATGCCAAAGCCTTGGAGCACACCTTGAATCTGATCTTTCTCTAACATCATTACTCTACCGTTAGCAAGATCTGTTAGCTTTATAGTCAACATATATCTAGTAGGACCAGCAACTCAGCATGTGCCTGGTGAGCTCAAGGGCTTGAGTTTGATTCCCAGTACCAAATAATAATAATAATAAATCTAGTGAAGTGATACGTCTGTGATTTCCTTTCAAATAATACAGAAGGGAAGCTGTGGGTGAAATGTAACTAAAAGAAAATTATCCATAACTTAATAATTGTTGAGGCTCAGGCAGGCCAGACAAAGCCCTGATGGCATGTTGAGGAGGCAGCACCCAGCTGAGCTGCAGGGAAAACACAGGGTTCCTAACGATGCAGCACAATGGGAGGCAAAGCCCTGGGGAGCAGGGACGAGGAACCATGTCTTAGTCCAAGCTTTGGATCAATCAGCCTGGGCCAGGCTAAGTAATATAGCACCATAAACCCTAAAACAAAAGCAATAGAGCATTACATTGTACAGAAGGCAAGATATGGACAACTAACTGGGAAAGTCTCAGAATAAAATTTAATAGAAATCCTTGGGGGTGGAGGAATAAGCCAGCAAGCAGAAAAGAACACAGCAGTTAAATTCAGCAGAAGAAAAGTAACAGACTATGACGAAGGTGACAATTATTGAGCTAAAGATGTTTAGAATCTAAAACTTAATGGAACACTTTCAGGACAGAAGATAAAACCGGTTTAAATGTTTACTTTATTGGATCTATACACCTGTTAAAAATAAACTTGTTGCAAAAAATTAATAATAATTATTGGAGCTGCTGAATAGTACACAGAGATGCATTACATGATTCCAGTTTTGTTTACATTTAAAATTTTTACCTCTGTCTGCCTTCGCTGCCACCACTCTATTCAAGCAACTAGAGTAGCTCTGGCCTAGACTCTGGTGGACCCCTGATTTCTCTCTCACCTGCCCTCCAATTCTCTCCTTTTAAACTAATTCCCCAGCTCAGCCCCTGCAACCTGTGTGATTGTCTCTATGAAGTGAAACTCAGACCATGTTCCTCCTCTGCTCAAAACGCTCCAAAGCTCCCCATTTCATCTGGAGCAAAGCCAAACTCTTAATAGTAGTTTTCAAGACACTATTTACCTCCCTGCCCTTTACTAATCAGCCTCAATCCCGCTTTACCTCCCTCCTTGATCATTTTATTTCAGGCACAATGACGTTCCTCAAACCCACCATGTTACTACCAAACTTCATGGAGCACATGCTGTTCATCCCGCCATGAAAGATCCTCTTCCCTCTCGTACGTATGGTTTGCTCTTCAATTCCTTTATGTCTTTGCTCAAATGTCTCCTTTTCAAGTAACCTCATACACACATGGAAATTAAATATCACCTTCCTGAACAATCAGTGGGTCACAGCTGAACTTACAGAAGAAATTAGACAGCTTCTACAACTAAACAATGCCAGTACAACATATCAGAGCTTATGGGACACAATGAAACAGAAGGAAATTTAGAGCAGTGGATTCCCACATCAGAAAAACAGCGAGCACAAATAAACAACTTAATGTTGAACTTGAAGCTTCTAGAAAAAGAAGAGCAGGTTAAGCTCAAGTACACCTTTTCTGAGCACCTTCTAGTACAACACTAAACACATAAACACTGCATTTATAGACACTCAGAGAGCCTGGCCACTCCTTCCTCTGCCTAACCCTGTTCAAGTTACGGTCATTTGACCATCAGAAGTAACCTGTCTGTTCACTGCAGCCACCTGGCATATAGCAGTTGCCCAGTAAGTACTTACTGAATAAATATAAATGTCTGCATGAAGGAGCAAACAAATGAGCAGCACCCATGATGCAATCCCCACCCTCGTCTCCAGGTACAGCTCTCACCTCTGGCCTCCTTGCTCCCCATACTAAGCACACGCAACACCTGAATCCCTGACGCGCATGAGCACCGGGGCTGTTCACACTTGCCAACCTTTGACCATGCTCGATCCTCTTCCTATTGGCTGGGTTTTCATCTTTAAGACTGAGTTCGATCAGGTGTCTGCCGACACCACCTGTGACTCAAAGAACTTCTTCTGCCTGGCTTTCTGCCAGGTCTTCATGACCTTTTTTTTTTTTTTTTTTTTTAAAACAGTACCAGGGCTCGAACTCATGACCACCTGCTTGCAAGGCAGGTGCTTATGCCGCTGAGCTAAATTCCCAGCCCCTCCGTGACCTTTTTCTGAGGAAGCACCCACCACGCTGGACTCTAGGAGAATCTACCCATTGCTCTGAGAGCCCCATCAGGGATGAACTTGGGAGCAAATTCTCTGGCATCCAAGAGTCACTCAAGAATGTGTAGTGAATGAATTAAAATGTTTGCATTGACTGAGTGGCTTCTCTGCTCAGTGTTTTATCAGAACGTCTTCGCCGGCGCACCTTTCATGGAGTGAGGATTATTATCAAGCCCACTAGGGCATAAAACTTTTGCATCTGTTCCATCCACTGAGGAGGTGTCACTCCTCACCCCGGAGAGCAGGAGCAAGCGCTTTCTCTTTCCCTGCCTCTGGTTCCTGAGGATAAGAAGGGACAGTTGGACCCACTCATCCCATCCAACTCTTACTGGACAAGGCAACTCTTCTAAGGTCTGACTCAAGCCAATTTCAGTTTCCGAACGTCAGAAGAAGGAAACACCTAAAAGTTGAGAATTGAAACTGAAGGCAGGAAGTTTGGCTGGATGCCAGCCCTGTTAAGGTAGCTCTGGACTTGCCCCCGTTAGCCAGGTGTTCTTCAGCACACCTGTCACAGCAGAGCTCTCCAAGGGGTCTTCAAGGAGCCACACTTGGCACATCCACCACTGGATTCCTTTTCATTTAGGTGCCTTATCCGGCAGGGTGCCGAGTTCAGCTGGAGGGGAACCTCCTTAAAAAAGAGGGTGTGCTCCAGGAGCCAATGGGTTACCGGCTATATATCTGTCCAGCAGTGGGACTCTCAGCAGAGATGGCCCTGACCCATGAACTCTATGGCATCCCAGTCTCCAAGCTGGACTCCTTCGTGGCTCAGTGGCTGCAGCCCAGCCGGCAATGGAAAGAAGAGGTGCTGGAGGTTGTGCGGACCGTGGAGCAGTTCCTGAGGGAGGAGTTCGTCCACTGGGAGCAAGGGCTAGACCAGGAGGTGCGGGTGCTGAAGGTTGTCAAGGTGAGGCCAGGCCCCTCCGTTCCCACCCAGCGCAGGCGAAACCCAGTGTGAGAGTCCACGTCCCCTTGCTTCCTTACCCCTAGCCCATGCTGCTGACATCTCAAGACACTTTTTTGCTGCTTACGACCCACTGCCCTCTCCCCAGCATAACGAGCCAGTAAGCAATTAATAATAATAGGTCGTATTTGGGTGTATAATCATCTAATCCTTTAATATGGTTATCTCTAATTCTAGCACCATTTGAGGTAGATATGATTCTTTTTCCATTTTATAGACAAGCAAAATGAAGGCTCAGAGACTTAAGATTCAGAAGGATCAAATACAATACAGGCTCTTTGATTGGATCCTGATGTGAATAAGTCCTCTGTAACATATAGCTTGGGGACAGTGGAGAAATTTTAATATGGCCTGGATATTAGATAGCAAGAAGGATTTAATTAACTGTAATAGTATCTTTGTGGGTAGAGAGAATGTTCTCTGTTTCTGAGGGGACACAAATGCTAAAATATTTAAGGGCAAAGTTCCATGTTGTCTGTAAGTTGTTTTCAAGGGGTAAAGTTCTATGCTATCTATATATAACACAGTTTAAAATGCTTTAGATGAAACAGATGTGGCAACGGGATTAGACACGTTGAGTCTAACTTGTTGGGTATACAAGTGTTCTATTTATTTTTTATTTTTCTATATGTTTTAAATTTCTGTTAATAAAATTATTCTATAGTGGAGACTCAGAGGGAGGAGGTGGCTTGTCCAAGACACAGCACTAGTGCTGGGGCTGGGATTTTAATTTAGCTCCATAACCAAGGACGTAGGCTCCTCCATTGAAATTTTCCCCAAACTCTTCTTTCAGCTGACTCATTCTGCCTACTGTGCTAGCTAGGATCAAAACTCAAGAGATTCAAACTGGGGGTGGTGGTGCACACCTATAATCCTAGCACTCTGGGAGGCTGAGGCAGATAAATCATAAATTCAAGCCTGAGAAACTTAGCTACTTCTCAAGACATTGTCTCAAAATAAAAATTAAAAAGGGTTGGGGATGTAGCTCACTACTAAGACTTCGGGTTCGAAGTCTCGTAATGAAAAAATTTTTTTCAAGAGATGCAGAGCTCAAAAAGCCGTGAAAAATTAGAAAATCAGCCACTCCTTTATTTAAACATTAAGGAAACTGACACACAGACCAGGTGAGAGATATCCCTTCGTCACACAGCAAGTTGATGGTGAAGCAAGATTAGAATTAAGGGATTTAGCTCAGTGGCATAAGCACCTGCTTTGCGAGTGTACAGTCTTGAGTCCGATCCCCAGTACCAAAAATATAAAGAGTTCGGACTGCAGACTGCGGCTCAGGGCTCCATGGAGAGCCAAGCCAGGGAAAGATTCAGAAACCTTCTGCTGCGTCTTATCTTCCCCAACATTGGGAGCCCAAGACCATATGATTTAGAGTAGAAAGCCACAATTTTGACAACAGACAGATCTGGGTTTGACTCAGCTTTTTTCCCTTGGCAGCTATGTGACCTGGGCTATTCCATCTTACTTCTCAAAGCCCTAATCTTCCCATCTGTGACTGGGGTATCGTAATCATCCTCCTTTCTCCTTCACTAAACAACCAGGACAATGCAAGCTAAATGACCAGCATTGCAGGGAAAATACCCCCAAACGGAGACATCATTGTCATTTTTGTTCAAGACTTCTGGTCCTGAGGAGCTTGGACAACCACACACACACACACACACACACACACACACACACACACACCTCCCAGGCAGATGGGTTCAAGCCCAGCCTGCAAAGCTCAGCAACTAAAATCCTGGCTCAAAATAAAAATGACAGCCCTGGTGGGGAGAGCAGATAAAATGAAAGAAATCTAGAGGGAGAAGGGTGCCACAAAGAGAATGATCTGGGGAGCAGGAAGAAGAGAGGGCCATCCAAACATAGCCCTAAGGGCAGTGGGCCTTGTCCGCACAGCGTCTGCCCCACGAATTCTCACAGGGCTGGAAATGCTGAGTCAGAATCTAGTGGGGAAAGAGAATAAAAGAAAATCAAGGCACCGTGGTGCACACCAGTAATCCCAGCACCCTCGGGGACTAAGGCAGGAGAAGGGCGATTCAAACCCAGTCTGAGCAGTTTAGCAATTAAGCATGGTCCTATCTCAAAATAAAAAAGACAAGTCTGAGAATGTAGCTGAGTGTGAGGACCCTGGGTTCAATCCACAATATTGAAAAAAGAAAGAAAGAAAAAGAGAGAAGAAAAGGGAGAAACGATGGCAGGCGCCTCCTCCAATCCTGGAGCAGGGCATGGCTCCTGTATATGGAAGACCCACCTGTTCTTTGTCTTCTGATCCTTCATCTTGACTCCCTGGCTGGCTGGGAGACCATGGCCAATTGATCTCTCTCCACTGCCTCAATATTATTCTTTTTTTTTTTAAGTCCAGTACTGGAGACTGAACCCAGGACCTTTGTACCGAGTTACATCTCCGCCTTTCTTTTTTTAGACAGGATCTTGCCAAATTGTCCAGGCTGGACTCCCACTTGCCATCCTCCTGCCTTAGCCTCCCAGAATTCTGAAAGTACACCTGACTTTACTCAGGATTTTTATCTGCACATTAGGAAGACTTGCGCTGGGCATGGTGGCACACTCCTGTAATCCCAGCACTAGGGAGGCTGAGGCAGGAGGATTGTTGTAAGTCTGAGACCAACCTGGGCTACAAAGTGAGTCCAAAGCCAGCCTGAACCACACAGCGAGATGCTGTCTCAAAAAGACAAAAAAAAAAAAAAAGGAAAACTTATGGTACCCGTGTTGATGGGAGGGTGTGAGGATTAAGAGTCATGTGTAAAAGGGCTTTTTGTGTCAAACAGGGGACTCTCAGCCTGTGACAGCTGGGCTATAACGCATGCTCAGTGGCTACACCAACCAAGAAAGGTAGCCCATTGGAGTCTGCCCCTTCCCCTAAGAGTTCCACTTCCTGACACAGAGTGAGAAAAGGGGGAGACGGCTATGGAGTTCTGTACACCAGAGGCAATGGGCTTTGGAGAGTGTGTCTAGAACCTCAAAACCAGCTCGGTCTCCTTTCATTACAAACAAGGAAATTGTTGCTTCAGCTGCAGAAGGGACCATGTGAGTCAGTTAGACAAGCAGGAAGGAGAGAGACAGATTTCTGACTTTCTGTGTGCCAGGAACCACACCAAGGCCTCAGCATTCAGTATTTTATCTAATCCTCCCTGTCACCTAGTGACTCACCTTCCACCATGACTTTCATTTACAGGTGAAGGTCTGAGGGCTTCAAATGGTCACTCAGCTAAGGAAAGGGGCAAGACTCAAGATCAGGGATGGGGCTGTAGCGAGGGGTGGAGCACTTATTCTGGATTCAGTCCCCCGTAGCCCCCACACACACAGTAAGGTCCAAGACAAAGGGCTGATTTCACAGCCATGGCTCTTATCTATCAGTGAATCTGCTGCTTGCTGTTTTTGGTTTGGTCCTCGGTTGGTTGGTCTTTTGAGGCAGGGTTTCACTATATGATTCAGGCTGACTTTGAAGTCACTTTGTGGCCCAGGCTGGCCTCGAACTTGCGGCAATCCCCTGCCTTAGCCTCCCCAGTGCTGGAATTACAGGCATGTACCACCACTCCTGGCTTCCTTGCTCCTTAATGCCATAAAATTCTTCAGACACCACACAACACCCCTGCCCTAAATCCTTGAATGCAGTGCAGTAGGAATCTACAGGTTGAATATGCCTCATCTGAAATGTATAAGATCGGAAGTGTCTCAGATTTGGGATTTCCATTAGACTCTGAAATATTTGGATATACTTAATGAGGTATCTTAGGCATGGGATTCAAGCTTACACATAAACCATTTATGTTTCATAAACACTTTGCTTGCATAGCATAAAGGTAATTGCCAGTGTTTTGACTATGATTCATCAAATGAGGTCAGGTGTGGAATCTTCAAGTTTCTGTGTGTGTGTGTGTATGTGTGTGTGTGTGTGCGTGTGTGTGTGTGTGTGTGTGTGTTACTGGAGATTGAACCCAGAGCCTTAGCACCAAGCCACATTCCTAGCCCTTTTTGAAATTTTGAGGCAAGTTCTCACTGTCACTAAATTGCCCTGGCTGGGCTCAAACTTTCCATCCTCCTGTCTCAGCCTCTCAGACTGCTGGGATTACAGGCATGTGCTCCACGTTCAACATCACATCAGCACTCAAAAAGTTTCAGATATGAGAGAATTATGGATTGCAGATTTTTGGGTGAGGGATGTGGAACCCATATTCCTTTGAAATAGGCATCTCTCTGCAGAAGACAAGACTTAGCCTTGGAAGTCAGGCACTGTAGTAGACAAGAAACCTAGGCTCTGGTGCCAGGCTGCAAACTGATGGCCTCAAGTGAGTAACCTTGGGGTAATGATGAACATTAAATGGGTTGTATCATGTGATGTGTGCAGGGGTTGCCTGGCACACAGCCCAGGGGCCTCTGGCTGACAGGGCTCTGTCTCTTGCAGGTGGGCTCCTTTGGGAATGGCACAGTGATCAGGGGCACAATGGACGTGGAGCTGGTAGTGTTCCTGAGCTGTTTCCACAGCTTCCAAGAAGAGGCCAAGCACCACCAAGCCGCCCTGAGACTGTTAAGGAAAAAAGCTTCCTGTTGCCAGGACCTGCTGGCCCTTGGGCTGAGTGATCTGAGGGTGGTCCAAGGAGTCCCAGACACTCTTGTCTTAAGCATCGAGACTGGAGAGACTGAAGAGCCCATCAATGTCACCATTGTGCCTGCCTACAGGGCCCTGGGTAAGGGGAGCAGAAGCCCACAGCATACACCTGCCCTGCCCAGGGACTTACAGCTCCCTCACCTCTCATTCATGGCCATATCCAGATCACTGCATTCATTCATTCTATCCACAAACTGTGTTGGGAACTAAACCTTCATTGTGTGCCCAGGACTAACACTGGTTGTCATGTGGGAGAATCTGGGAAACAGAAACTCATCAGGAACTCACACAGATAAACATATGGTAAACTGGGTGCAGTGCTTCATGCCTGTAATCCCAGCTGATTCAGAAGGCTAACACGGGAGGATCAAAAGTTCAGTCTGAGCAATTTAGTGAAAGCCCCATCTCCAAATAAAAGAACTGAGGGTGTAACTCAATGGTAGATTGCTTGCCTGGTATGCACAAGAGCCTGGTTTGTCAGTGTTTGGGCTTTCCCGGAGGGAGACCCTGAGGATAAGCAGTTTATGGGAAGATGATCCAGCACTGGGAGAGAGGCAAGGAACCAAGTCAAAGTGTATTGCTGAGCAGAGCATCACTACGAGCATCTGGGCTTCAGGCCTCTGCAGAACTCAATGCAATCATACAGAGCACAGTTCAACACATTGCAATGGGGTGCTGACTGCTTGCCCACAATTTCTTTTTTTTTTTTTTTTTTTTATGCCCACAATTTCTTAGCAGTCATTAGCTGTTGGCTGCTCCCTGGAGTGCTAAATTCCTGGAACTTGTTATTTGTCCCCAAGCTAAGAGTCTGATGTTTGAAATAGATCATGCGTGGTCTAAGCCCAGATGATACAGGCTTTCTGTTAGTCAGCTTTCAGTCACTGTGATAAAATACCTGAGATAAGCAACACAGAAGGAGAACATGTTTAATTTAACTCACAGTTTCACAGGTCTCAGTCCACGGTCACTTGGCCATTTTGCTTTGGGCCTGCAGTGGCACAGTATGTCATGGCAGGACCATATGATGAAGTCCGTTCACATCATGGTGTCCGGGAAAGAAAGAGAGACAGAGACAGAAAGAGACAGAAAGGCCTCTATACTCCCATTAAGGTAACCTCCCTCAAAGACCTACCTTCTTTCCATTAAGCTACACTTCAAAAATTCCTCCACCTCTTGATTGCACTCTAGCTGAAGATCAAGACTTTAGCCCATGGGCTTTGAGGGACATTCAGGAGCCAAATGATGATAATTTATCTCATGTGCCAGCTCCCACTAATTGTTGTGGCTGCCAGGAGTTATTCTATGGAGAAGGTGTAAGAGACAGGACCAATCTTAGAAAGAAAAAGAGTAACACATACCATGGAACTAGTTCTCCTTTCAACCACTCTTTATCCCCTGGAGCCTCCTAAATGAATCCAGAAACATCTAAAACAGATATTGAAAACTAGGAGTGTTGGAGTCTAAGTCATTTTCTCATCAATGAGACATGATATCCAACACTCACAATGTGTAGCAGAGGAGGTTTATTTTTGGCTCAAGCTTATGGAAGATTTATTCAATTATCAGCCAGTACCAAGGCAGGAAGGGCACAGTGGAAGAGTGTAGCAGAGGAATGGAGCTCACAGCATGGCACCCAGGAAGCAGAGAGCATAGGAAAGAGCCACAGAAGGAGACATAGCCTTCCAGGTGACACTTCCGGTGACTGGCCTTTAACCAGGCTTCACCTCCCGACAACACGTTCAACTATGAACTCATCAGTCTAATATCAGATAGGTGTAGTGCCCCATGATTCAGTCGCCTTCCTAACATGTGAGACTTTTGGAGGACACCAAGATCTAAGCCATAACAGCAAGGGATACTCAAGCAGGACAACAGTCTGGGCGGCCTGAAGTATAGAAAGCCCAATGTTGGCTCTTGATTGGCAAGGCAATCAAGGGTAATCAAGGCAATCAAGGCAAAGCTTAGGTGTCTGAGGATCTGAGGTTGCAGATCCTCTAGAAAGGCATCTCCAGGGGATAAATAGACGTCCCCCCAGCCACTAGTTAGCCCTCTGGGACTTCCTAAATCCTCAGTCTGTGTTTTTTGCTGCCTGTTTCCTCAGGACCTTCTGTTCCCAACTCTCAGCTACCCCCAGAGGTCTACGTGAATCTGATCAAGGCCTGTAGGTACCCTGGAAATTTCTCCCCATCCTTCAGCGAGCTGCAGAGAAACTTTGTAAAACATCAGCCCACTAAGCTGAAGAGCCTCCTCCGGCTGGTGAACCACTGGTACCAGCAGGTAAGAGGCAGTGGCAGGACACGGGCAGGAAGGAGAGGGAAAGGCAAGGCCCGGTACCACCCCAGGAAACTGCTCCAGGGGGAGACAGGAGGGGCGAAGGAGGGAGAGACTGCGAGACTTTTTAAATTGTGGAGTGAAACATTCAGTGAAGAAAAGGGGAAAGGAGAAAGAGGAGGGGGAAGAGAAACAGAAACAGAAAAAAGAGAGAGAAAAGTAGCTATTGTACAGTGTTTCGATAGCCAAGCACTTGAAATGTTCTGGTTCCTATCTAATATGAGCTAATGGTAATTTCATTGCATACTCTATACCTTAATCACAGTAAGCTAAAGGTTAACTAGAGGAAAGATTCCTTTATTCCACCCACATCCATCACCTTCCAAATGACTTGAGTTCCAGGGTATCATGAGCACTACTGAATGAATGGGTCCAGAGTAACTGCGTTTTAGATTTCATAAGTGATGTCCGCACAGAACTACCTAGATTTAAAATATCCACATAAATAGTCATGTAAACTTATACAAAGAAAGACTCAGAAGCAAATATAGAAGTTACAAAGTCAAAGGTGCTTTCTTGTTTAAAAAAATGGTAAAAGATTAGAACACTAATTCAGTTTAAAAAGTAAAGCAAACTGGGCATGGTGGCTTACACCTGTAATCCCAGTACTTGGGAGGCTGAGGCAGGAGGATCACTGTGAGTCTAAGGCGAACCTAATCTATAAAGTCAGTTCAAGGCCACCTGAGCTACATATTGACACTCTGTCTCACAAAATAAAAATAAATAAAATAAAGAGATAAAAATCACAAAATTACCAAGGTTAGCACACTTACAGTTAATAGCGAATTGTTGGTGAGATGACAGACATCAATCACATCAACCGCAGTGGACAAGTTTTCAGATATCAGCTTTACCAAAGTCAAGGATGAGTTACCTTTGAGGGAAAAAGTGTGTGCCTGTATCAGCTTTCTCCCATCTGTTTTTCAAGCCTCTGGCCTTAAGACAAGGATTTGACATATTTTGTATTATTTTGGGTATAAGATTTTGAACATAACAGTTTCTTTGACTTTTTTTCATGCTAGAGATTAAACAAGGGACCATCTGCATGCTACACAAGCACTGTATCACTGAATTACATGCTCAGCCTTTTTTACTTCATTTTATTTTGAGACCAGATCCAGATTTCCCAGGTTGGCCTCAAAATTAGAATCCTCCTGCCTCTGCCTCCCAAGTTTCTGGGATTCCCAGCATGCACCAACCATTTATTTGACAGTTTTATCTACCCAAGTATTAAAAGATGTTGATTAATATATAAGGACATAGAGATCTCATATTGTGTGAGATATGGTTAAAATATATGAAGAATGTTTGCAAACTTTCTGCCTCATCTTCCTCGGTGCTGGGATTATGAGAATGCATTACCACCTCTGCCTTCTTAAATCAAATCTTAACTACAATGACATCAGTGATCAGCGATGCCTGGGTTTGTTAATGCTCACAGCCTGCCATAAAAGTATTCTTTTTACTATTTATCAGGCTGGGTTTTCACATACCTTAGAGCAGGACTCTTCCCAAGAACAACTTTATAAGCACCTTTTCCACATATGATGGCCTGTCTTTGATTCTCCCCTCTTCATCAGCAAGAAATTGATGCCATATATGTGTACATATGTCATTCATATGTGTGTATGTGTGGGTTTATATAGGCCATCCCTTGGTATCCATAGAGAGCTGGTTTCAGAAAACCTCTCGGATACTAAAATCCAAAAATCTCAAGTCTCTTATAGAAAATAGCTCAGTATTTGCATAGAACCTACACGCATCCTCCTCTATCCTTTAAATCATCTCTAGATTACTTATACTACTGAATACAGTGCAAATGCTATGTAAGTAATTGTTATAGTTTATTATAGGGAGTAAAAAGAAAAATCTTACCTGGTCAGTATACACACTATCTTTTATACGAAGACTTTTATTTGGCAGTTGAATCTCTAGATGTGGAGCATGTGAATATGGAGATATGGAAGGCTTACCGTAGAGATTTCCCCTGCTGTGTGTAACTCAGCACTAATCTAAAAACAAAAAAGAACTTTCCTCCAGTGTTTTTGGCCAAACTTTTGACATTAAAAAGGGGTTCTGCTTGGTTTGGGGGAGGGTTTATTTAATTACATTCAGAATGTTATAAAACCATCATCGCTCTCTAGCTCCAGACCTTCTTCATCATCCCAAACAAAACTCTACTCATTAAATAACTCCCCATTGGGCTGGGGATTTAGCTCAGTGGCATAAGTGTCTGCCTGGCAAGCTTGAGGTCATAAGTTCGATCCCTGGTACCGATAAAAATGAAAAAGACAAAAAAAAAAAAAAAAAGAAAATATAGATATATGTTATGATCTTACAAAATAATTACCTTTGGCTTTCTGATGATTTTTTAATCTACTATGGAGTTTTTTTATTCTGAAGTGTCAGAATAATATATCATTTTAAAATGTTTAATCTTGGTTAACACAAATATAGCTTTACATTGAGGGTAAGAGTTTAAGAAGAAAAAAAGGATTTTTCCTCACATAGCCACTAAAAATAGAACATTAAATTTGTAACTAATTCTTGTTTTATTAGTCTTTGGTTAAGGAATCTGCTTTGATGAAGCTATCTGCTTTCAGAATAAAAGAGTCTGAGAAAATTCTCACTCAGTGAGGATATCAGTGTTTACCCATAAATTTATTCCCAATTACAATCCATAAATATCCCAGAGCAGAGGGTGAGAAAAAAATCTCCCACAAATATATTAGATTGTAATCAGATAATTGTTCTAGAAAATGCTTTTTTCATTTATACAAACAAAAACACAAAGAACTAGCAGCATTCGTTTTATAACTTTAATTATGGATCAGAAATAAACACAGTAGAAAATCCTCCAGTCAACTCCTAATCTTATTGGACTGTTTTCCAGAAGTTATCTACACATACACACACACATACACACACACACGCATGCAAACTTCTGTGATTTAAAATCATAATGGCATTAAAGACAATAGTGAAGCTCCTAGGAGATACCAGAATTCTCAAAACACACAGAACCAAAGAGAGAGAAAAGCACAAAATACAACCAATTTCCCATGGCCGCCATCCCCCGGGGAGTAACCCAAGCATCTGTCTCCTAATAAAGACCAGCAGTGGTCAAACACTAAACCAGAATCACAGATTACTGTTACAACAGGGACATAGTGAACCTTACAAATAAAAACAATAATCACAATCAAAACCAATAGCAATAACACAGCCAGGCATATGTCACGGCATTGGCTATGGTGACATATACCTGCAGCCCCAGCTCCTAGGGAGGCTGAGAGAAGAGGGTCACTCGAGCCCGGGGAAGTTAGGGCCAGCCCAGGCCACATAGGAAAAGTGGGGAGGACTGAGGGGGGAAAAACAGAGGCAAAGGGGGAAGAAGCAACAGTCAGAAAGGACCAATGCTATCGCCCACATAGACCTCACCCTAGTGTCGTCTGGCTCCTGATCGCTGAAAGACACCACACCTGGGGGACAAGGACCGCCACTCTGCTGTCCAGGAATCCCACTAACATTATAAACTCAGCCCCAATAAGGAAGACACTATTTATAAAGAGGAAAGGAGAAGGTAGCTAGCTACCCTGTAAGAAAGAACCAGCATGGGGAGCTCCAGAAAAATGAGGACCCCACAGGCCTTCTGTTCCTGGCTGTTTTTATGGGGACAGGGGGCAGTGAGTGACCCTTCCCTTCTATCCTTAGAACTTGCCGTAACTGGATTGGCTTCCGGGCACCTCTGCCTAATGTGATTTCTTCCGGTGGTCTGTGTGCAGCTTCTCTGTCCACTTGTCCTTGACCTACCCTTCAAGGCCTATCTTTGGGGTGGGCAGCCTCTTGGCATGGGGGTAACGTATTCATGGGTAGCTTAGCATTTGTAAGGGGACGTGTGGATATCTACTGTGTTCTATAATGACCCTAGAGTGAACAACATAGTGACTCTAGAGTATATATACCTGTATGTATCTGTTAGTGAAGAGATGTGAATACATACTGCTTTAAAGTTAGTCACCTCCTCCCTTTATAATAGTTTTGGAAGTGGGAGTGGCTTATTGTTCCTGTACTTGACTTTCTGTGTCCTGCTTGTCAGCTCTGCTTTTTGGTTTTTTGTTTGTTTGTTTGTCTTTTGGTGCAAATCCCGAGGTCATTTGGTGACTTTCTTTACCTATTTTTTCTTTCTGTATCTCATCCTTGACCCTTCCCCTTGTCAGGGGAATATCTCTAGTAAAGTTTATTTTTAACTACTTCTGGTCAAAATTAGCTAGATGATCTATTGAGGCCTCTGTACTATTTTCACATGCAGAATTCTGTCCCTACACTAGGAGTTAATAAAAAAAAAAAGGTTGTGTCTGGGTGTAAAGAGCCCATGAGGTATGTAAGACAAATTTTGTCCAAATGTTTCAGACTTCCCCTGGGGGAAATCTCGATAGAACTTTGAACTGCAAAAAGAAACTCAGACAAAAATCATTTATGAAGTAAGAACTTTCAGAGAAGTTATATAAAAAGCAGACTGCAGGGCTGGGGATTTAGTTCAGTGCCTGCCTGGCAAGCGCAAGGTCATGAGTTCGATCCCCAGTACCTAAAAAAAAAAAAAAAAAAAAAAAACCAGACTGCAGAAGGAAAGACTTAACCCAATAAAATATATAATAAGTCTGAGCATGGTGGCACATACCTGAGATCCCAGTATTCTGGGAGACTGAAGCAGGAAGACAGCAAGTTCAAAGATGAGCAACTTAGCAACCTAGTGAAACCCTTTCTCAAAATAAAAAATAAAAATGGGGACATAGCTCAATGCAAAGGCCTAGGTTCAATTCTCCATACTGCAGAGGAGAAGGAGAAAAAAAACTAGATAGGGACTAGTGGGAGATGTTCAGGTCACCAAGGGTACAGGGCCTTGACCCAAAGAGTGAGACCCCATCCCTTCCTCTTCCTCTCTTTCTTGAGCCACCGTGAGGTGAGTGGCTTTGCTACATGCTGTCCCACCATAGGCAGGCGAGGATGCAGCACAGCTGCATAGCGCCTGCCTGGCAAGTACAAGGTCCTGAGGTTGATTCCTGGTACCAATAAAAATGTAGGTCTCTCTTTCCTTCTCTCTCTCTCTCCCTCTCTCTCTCTCTCTCTCTCTCTCTCTCTCCTTTGTGTTTTGCTGTTTTGTCTGTCTGTTTGTTTGTTTGTTTGTTTGTTTGTTTGTTAGGTGAGTTTTCACTGTGTTCCCCAGGCTGAATTCCAACTACTGTCCTCAGGCAACCCACTTGCCTTAGCCTCCTGAATAGCTGAGATTACAGTCCCATATCCCATGCCTTGGCTTGAAGAGCTCATTTTTCACCTAAGATTAATAGTTTAATGATTACAGGCTATCTATATTTTATGAATCATCTAAGCCTTAAAATCACATTAGTGTTAGAGAAAATGTGAATTTGCAGTTACAAAAAGCAAATTCACTAACATAAATAAATTTGAGCACATCTTAAAACTTTTAAAGTTAGGAACAAAGTTGTTTTTGATGGTAAATCAATGACTTATAGGAGTTTCCATTTATCTGGGGAATAAGAACTAGACAAGATGAACCTGTGGTTTTTGTATATTTTTTGTTTGCTTCAAGGTCAACATATTGTGCTTTTTTTCTTCTGACTGTGGGAGACTGTGCTATAATACTTATTTATGATGACCATAAACAAGATGTCAGTTTTGCTTCCACAAACCAAATAGCTAAATATTTCACAGAAACTCTTACTTTCTAGCTGAGTATTAGAGAGGTTTTTAATAGGAAATGATCAGTTAGCAAAGATACTTTCCTTTTCCACTTAGAGAAAAGCACTGAACTGACTCAAAGTAATTTAAGCAGTTAAGAAAACTACCAGCGCATGTATGAAAACCCCTAATGGTGGAATGGGGTCTTCGGGCAGTGTTTGGTGAGGGCTCTAGCCATTGCTCTATAATTCAGTTCTCTGTCCTTTCTGTGTCAACTTGATCTTCAGGGTGGTTGCCTCCTGGTAGCAAAGTGTCCACAGATGTCCCTGCCCTCGTACAAATTCATGAGAAGACTGCTCTTCTTTCCATCACTTAATAAAATAATTTTGCTTTGCTCTAACTGAACTATCCTGAGTCAAGTGGCCTCTCTTGAGTCCATCAGCTCATCAGGGGAAAAAAGATTATGCAGCCATGCTCCACTCTGGAGTTGGGGTTGGGCTCAACACCATCCAAACAGCAACCCAACTATGGAATGGATTAAGAAAGAATGTCTGCTGGAGAAGCCATCCCGAAGGCCACTAAGAATCCGCCTTCAGAGGTCGCATCTCTTCCTTTTCACCCTGGCCACTGCCACACTACCCACACGGGAATTGAACCAGGGCCTTCTCACAGAGCTATGTCTCCAGTCATTATTATTATTTTTCCTTTATTTTGAGAGTGTAACACTAAGTTGCTAAATTGCCTGGGCTGAACTGGAACTTGCAGCCCTCCTGCCTCAGCCTCCTAAAGTGCTGAGATACCAGGCACATGCTACCCTGCCCAGCAAGAGGCCCTTCCTTTAAAGGATATTTTTCTTTTTTGTCTTTTTCGTTTTTATCGGTACCAGGGATCAAACTCACGACTGCCTGCTTGCAAGGCAGGCGCTTATGCCGCTGAGCTAAGTCCCCAGCCCCTTAAAGGATATTTTTCCTAGCAGCTCAGCGCATTGAACTACAGGTCTAGAATTTGATTTTCCAGTTCCTAGTCCAGTGCTATACTTATACATAAATGTTGGGCTCTCTGTCTCTCTGTCTGTCTGTCTGTCTGTCTCTCTCTCTCTCTCTCTCTCTCTCTCTCTCTCTCTCTCTCTCCTCTCTGTCTCTCCATGTCTTTCAACAGTACGTGATAGCCAAGTGCCCCAGGGCCAATCTGCCTCCTCCCTATGCCCTGGACCTGCTGACCATCTATGCCTGGGAAATGGGTACCCAGCAAGAGAAAAGCTTCAGTTTGGCTGAAGGCCTCACCACCGTGATGGAACTACTCCTGGATGCCGAACTTGTCTGCATCTACTGGACCAAGTACTACACACTCCAGAACCCAGTCATCGAAGGCTATGTCAGAAAACAGCTCAAAAAAGAGAGGTACTGCCCCACTGCTTGCCCAATGAGGGTCACAAAAACAAGAGAAAAAGAGAGAGAGGCTTAATCAAGGGGCCTGTGGCATAGAGTTTTAGGGATTGGTTTTATTCAGGACATATGAATGAACCACTGAGACCTCAAATAGAAACAGTGCCTCATGCTCACAGCCTGCTAAGCTCCCAGGGGCCAGCTGGGTCCCTTAGCAGATATGAGTCTTTTTCTTATTCCAAAAGCCACTCCTCTATTTTGTCTTGTTACTCACAGAAGATCACCTCCCCTCTTCTTGGAAATAGCATGGAAAATGGGGAGAACCTTGGAGATTAAATCTCAGGTCTACCATTTTCTAAGTGCTGTGAGCTTTGGTTCTCATCTGCAAAACAAGAATAAACTGTTACAGTTCCGACAATGCAGGACAACCACTCGGGTCACAGCAACATACATGAAGGGTGCACAGTGCCGGGGGGTGGTAGATGCTGCAAAAATGCTTGTTCTTACAATTCAAGTGCTTGGCGCCCCAACTCATGTACTCTTGGCCTTGACCTTGGCAGGGCAGGCTGGCTTAGCTTTCAACTGCCAACTCCTGCACCCTTACCGTGAGGTCTTCCTCTTACCAGGAAGCCCCCCTGGGAAGGGGTGAGCAGCCCCTAACCAATGACTGGAAGGAGAAGGTGATCAATATCCCAGCATCCAGTCCCCTCCGATGACCAGACACCAGGCTCTGTCTTCCACTGCTGTTTCCCAGAGTTCCCTGGTGGGGCTGACCTGCAGTTACCTCTGGGACAGTGACCTTGACATTCCTCCCTCACTGGCTTCCTTCCCTTGTCCTGCATCACTTCTCATCCCCTTATTAGTGCTTCCTGGAATTGTGTTCCTAATAATTTGTTTTTGTTTTTCTGTTTTGGTTTTGGTTTTGGTTTTGGTTTTGGTTTTGGTTTTGGATACTGAACTTGTGATTTCACATTTGCCAGGCAGGCGCTTGTGCCGCTGGAACATCTCCCTGGCCTAATACGCCAATCTTTATACTCTGGAGATCCACCTCCAGGGGAAGCCAGCTTAGACAAGTGTTTATATTACAAGTTTTAGTATTTCATTTGTGACTGTTGGGTTTTTCACTCGTGGTGGTGGTTTGATTTTGTTTTTCAAGGAAGAAAAACAGGTCTCCTGATAGAGAGAGCATTTATTGTAAGGATGCCCAGAAAATCGGGCGTGGAACAGAACCTCAAGGACCTTAGGCAGACCTAGAGACTGATTCTAAGCGCTCTCTCTTCTCTCCCTCCCTCTCCTGTCCCCTCCCTCTTCCTTGCCCTACTTCCTTCCATCTTTTCTCCACTTCTGCTCTTCCTTTGACATTTCCTCCCAGTTGTTAAAGGACTTCCATCATCCCTGGTCAAACCTCAGAAGAAACTAATCTGACCGTGGACACAGCTCCTGTGTGATAGGTCACCTGCCAGCCAATGGAATAAGCCACTCTGGGTCAGGTGTCCCAAACCCCAAGAGGCAGCCCCGCATTGCTCCCCGATGATTCCAGGCAGGACTATCAGGGAGCAGGGGGTGCTGGGATTAGCAGGCAGAGAGTCCAAGCATCCAGTTCACCCTAGTAGCCTGCTCTCACAGTCTGTCACAGACAGTCACGGCTCCTAAGCCAAAAACCTCGGCATACAAAGGCCAAGTCTTTATTGTAGGATTGTTATACAACTCATGCAGCCATCCCCAAGGGGCCTAAGCAAGCTAGTGGACTCCATTCCCGCCAGTGCTCTTTAAAATATTCATGTAGGGGCTGGGGATTTAGCTCTGCGGCATAAGCACCTGCCTTGCAAGCAGGCAGTCGTAAGTTCGATCCCCGGTACCGATAAAAAAAAAAAAAATATATATATATATATATATTCATGTAATGCTGAGCATGGTGGCACATCCTTCTGATCCCAGTGCCAGAGGAGGCTGAGGCAGGAAGATTGCAAGTTTGAGCCCAGTCTGGGCAGCCTAGCAACTTAACTAAGACCCTGCCTCAAAATAAAAAAGAAAAGGGGCTGGGGATGTCACTCAGTTAGAAGGCCCTTGATTTAATGTCCAGTACCATGTTAAAAATCCAAAAACAAATCATTCAATCTTACACTAGGTGCAATGGCACCTAGTAATCCCTGCACTCAGGAGACTAAAACAGGAGGATCTCCCTGAGTTTAGGCCAGCCTGAACTACACAGTGAGAGCCTGTTTCAAAAAAAAAAAATTGTATGAACTTAGAGACAGCCAATTAGAATGAATTCTTACCCCCATGTACTGGCTGTGAGGACTCAGAAAGGTCTGTGCCTATTTCCTTACTTGTAAAATGCGGGAGAGAGGTCCAACAATAGTTTATAAAATTGTAAGTAGAAAAACAGGTTAATCCAACAGAGATTGGTTCAGCGTTCCAGCACAAGTGTTAGTAGCAGTGTTCTTATTAGCCAAAGTATGCAGCAGCTCGTCTCAATCTGGTGCTGCCTGCTCTGCCCTTCAAGGGCCCCCTTTCCTATTTGAGTGACATCTATTCTCACTTCAATATGCCTCTTGGGGATTCACCCTCTCTACCCTTCAAATTCCTTGCAAATACCTAGAATACTCTTCTGAGAGGAGCTGGTGGCAATCTGACCACCTCCCTCCTCTTGCAGTATGTCTGGGTCCTCTTGGATAGACAGCTCAGATGCTCAGTGACTTGAATATATGGTTGCTGAGGCATCTTCCTGACCTGTAGCTTCCAGGCTGAAGGAACATGACACCCTCTCTCTGTGTTGCAGGCCCATCATCCTGGACCCAGCAGACCCCACTCACAATGTGGCAGAAGGGTACAGATGGGACATAATGGCTCAGAGGGCCTGCCAGTGCCTGAAACAGGACTGTTGCTATGACAGCAATGACACCCCAGTCCCCAGCTGGGATGTGAAGGTAATGAGTGGCTCCTTTCAGGACCATCAGGGACCTGAAGCTCAGAACAAGATGACCACAGGACATGGACTCATACACTTCTGGGGCAAAGGTGAACAGCACTTCAGAGCAGACACTGTGAGGCCTGACCCCACCTCCCATCACTTCTGCAAACTTGGGAAAGGCCTTTAGTTCTCCAAGTCCAAGTTCCTTATTTTTAAATTTTTCTCCTCTCCCTGCCCCCAAAACATACTGGAAAATCAGTTCCATTTTCCTGATGATGCTTTGCACGAGCTGAGCAGCCAAGTCAACTCAGTTGGCTGTTAGGTACCAGCATTGGGCTGGGGGCATCCTGATGATGGAGGGGTAAGGGCAGCACAGGGGGAATGGAGGAGTCCTTGAGGAGCTCATCCTATGCTTTTAGCAAGCAAGTAATAGTCTTATGTGATGCCAGACATACAGTACAGGCAAAAATCATAATAATCTTATTTGCTTCTCTTCACATTTTTGAATTTTCAAAACACTGGTCTGGGGATCATCTTATAGCAAGTCTATAAAGTAGGAAGGTCAAATACTTTCATTATCTATACTAGGTAGTATTACCATTGTTGCCATTTTATAGATGAGGAAACTGAGGCTTAAAGAGGATAAGTCAGATAATCAATGTTACACTACTAAGAGGTAGGAAAGCCAGGATTCATGGGTTTTTGTGGGGTTCCACAAAGAATATTTTCTGAAATCATTAGAGATTCCTTGAAGAAGGTAGGGCTTAAAATGAGCCCAGAAGTCCAGGGAGGGATATCGATGCTCAGAACACTCTGAGGGGTCAGGTGGGACTGAGGGGCCAGAATGGATGGTGGCAAAAAGCAAGGAATATGCAGGAACAAGAGACCGAGCCCCGTGTATCAGAGGCAGAAGCACAGAGGCTCTGTGACAAGGTACGAATTAAAGGACCCACCAGTCATTTTCAGATGGGCCGAAAAGCATATGCCTCTGGATTTTTCCTGAATATAAAAACATTGTGCAAAAGTTTTGAAGAATCAGAAAACTGCTAGGCATGGTGTGCACATCTGTAATTCCAGCACATGAGAGGCTGAGACAGGAGATAACCATGAGTTTGAGGTTAGCCTGGGCTACGAAGTGAGTTCAAACAAACCTGAACTGCAGAGCAAAGACCTGTCTTAAAAATAAAGAAAGAAAAGAAAAAAATCAGAAGACTTTGCAACATGAGGCTTAGATTCCTTCCCAGATCTGACTTCTTGTTCCCTAATCAGTGGAGACTTAACTGCAACCAGGCTCTCTTGCCTCATCTGTAAAATGGGGAGAATAGCAGAGCTGCGTCCTAGGGTTGCTGTGAGAAGTGCATTCAGAGCACAGGAGGCACCCAGCATAGGGTCTGGAAGGTGGCCAGCACTCCCTGAACATTTGCCGCTGCTTCTGTCTTTGTTGCTATTATGAAGATGAAGACAGGCAAAAGGGACTTTTGCGTGTCAGACAAAAGTGTGCCCTTAACCCCTCTCCCTCTCCCTTGCAGAGAGCCAGAGATATCCAGGTGACAGTGGAGCAGTGGGGTCACCCCGATTTGATCATCTGGATGAATCCTTATGACTCCATATCGAAGATGAAAGAGAAAATCCGGCAGAGCCGGGGCTATGCAGGCCTGCAGCGCCTGTCCTTCCAGGAGCCTGGCAGTGAGCGGCAGCTCCTCAGCAGCCACTGCTCACTGGCCTATTACGGGATCTTCTCCGACACCCGCATCTTCCTGCTGGTCACTGTATCCCCCGAGATCCAGGTCTTCGTGAAAAACCCGGATGGCAGGAGCTTCGCCTATGCCATCCATCCCTACCACCTCATCCTGGGCCTGAAGCAGAGGATTGAAGACAGGCAGGGGCTCCCCAGCAAGCAGCAGCAGCTAGAGTTCCGGGGCCACATCCTGCAGGACTGGTACGATGTTGCATGCTATGGCATCCAAGACAGCGACACAATCATCCTGTCCAAGAAGGCAGAACAGGCTCTATTTCCACTCACCTAGTTTCCTCCGTTTCCTATGCATTTCTGGCACCATATCCAGAACTCAGGACTGGGAGGAACTGTGTATGAGGTCCTGGGTTCAATCCCTAGCAGCGCAAGAGAAAGAGAGAGAGAGAATCTCAGAACTGAGCCTCACCACCAGTTCTCTGCAAGGGGAGATCCCACGTCTTCACCAGCTTTATAAGCGGCTCTCCAGCCCTGTCAGTACAGACTAAATATACAAATGCACAATGGCCAAGACCAATGTGACGATAAAATTCTCACCCACGACCCCCGCAGGAACCAAGCAACCAGAAACCAAGTCAGAACTGAGTCAGTAACCACAGGCTTCTCTAATCTCCCAGCCCACTTAATCCCACTTCTATTTTAGGAGCAGCCAGAGGAAGGCAAATGAGCCCCCACACTGACCACATAAGTAGCCCTGCTTTGGCTGGTTCACCTCCAGCCTCCTCACACCAACAGCTTGGATCAGAACAAACCTAAAGCCTACCCCTTTTTTCTCTTTGTTAGGAAGCTTTCCCAGCCCCCTATCTGTCTCGGAATCTCTGTCCAAGACAAGGAATGGTGCCTGGTTTGGTGCTTTACAAGCTGGGAATAAAGAGCCTTTGTCTGCTCTCATTTGGGTCCTCTTCCTTCATTTCTCCCAGATGCTAATTTTGTGCTAGTGGTTATTGCTTAACCATTTGAGCCTCTCAACTCTGGAGACTGAAGACTGTAGGAAAACGGAGACAAAAGGAGGCAAAGTCTGGGAGGAAAACATCCCCTCCACTCATGAAACCCACACGCAGAGACTTCTAAAAAAAAAAAAAAAGTAGCATCATTATAACCAAAGACTATCATATTTCTTTCACCCTGCCACTTTGCTCTGCTTTTTTGAGGGACTCACCATAGCATACCAAATGTACCTCATAATTGGTTCCCAGAAGTCTGAGCAATTTTGCAGTAGTAATTGGTATATTTTCTGGCCTTTGCCTCCAGGGACCAAAGAGACCTCTTGCCTCTTTCCTAAGAACAGGCTAGCCTTACCCACATCTTATCTTTGTAGCCATTCTAATATCCGTATCAGCCCACATTGTAGACAGTGGGAAAATTCTAGAGAAAGGACTCAGACTTCTTCACTGAGTCATTGACTCAGATCATTTAGGACCCTATAACAAATGCCATAAACTCAAGGCTTATAAATAATGTTAGAGTTTTCTGGTGCAATAAAGGAGCAGAATATAAGAAAAACTGAAAGTGGCCTTTTTATTTAAAGGACATGGAGAGGAGCCCACAAACAGCAAGGGTTTGGCTTTTTCCTCTGCTCGGATATGGGGGTGTGAGGTATATGTAACCTTTGACCGGATGTGGTACTTGGGGAGGCCATTGAAGACACCCGAGGAGCTGATTGGAATTTTCTTCCCGAGCACTGGGAAAGGATGGAGGAAGTTGTAATGTGATGGGGAGGAAGTGGCCGTCAGGGTAAACATCCCTGATTTGGCCTTCCAGCATGCCTTCCAGCACTGCCACAATGTCCTATAATTTATTCTAGGGCAAAACTTTTTCAAACAACAAGTATTTATTTCTCACAGTTCTGAAGGCCAGGAAGAACTAGGTGCTGGCAGATTTGGTGTCTGATGAAGGCCTCTTCCTGGCTTATAGGTGGCAGGGTCTCCTTGTGTCCTCATGCAAGCTCGTTCTTTCATAGAGACTCTGCCCCCAGGAGTTAATCACCTTCCAAAAGCACTGTTTCCTAATACCATCACTTTTAGGGTGAGGATTTCAACATGGGAATTTAGGGGAGACAAACATATATGTTATAGCAGTCATTTTTTAAAATATAAAGCCCAAGGCCAAATAGCTTTTTTAATGATGTTTCAATCACACTCACCTTCAAAGAGAAAGCATTCCAAAGACAAAAGTTATTTTGTGTATCATTCACTGTGGAATATTTTAGCTGTAGAGGGTCTAATTTATCAGTCCTGGGAGTCAGTAATTTTTTTAAAAAGTTCCTTTAAGGTTTCTTTGTACAAGCAGGTTAGAGAAGTCCTGAACTAGAAAACTAGAGTGTTAGCCAGGCACAAAGGCACATGACTATAATCCAGCACTGTCTGAGGCTGCAGCAGAATTGCAAATTCAAATCCTACCTGGACAGCTCACCAAGATGTTGTCTTGAAATTAAAAAAAAAAAAAAAAAAAAAAAAAAAAAACCCTAAAAGGGGGCTGAAGGTGTAGCTCAGTATAAAGGTTTTGGGTTCAATTCCTAGTATCACCAAAAAGAAGAAAATAAAAAGAAAGGTCAGAGTGCTTACCGGACTAAACTGTATTTGAATCACATCATACAATACAGAGCTGCGCAGAGGCAATTCTCACCTGGTAGGTTTGCCCTGGAGCCCCAAATCCTGCATTTCTAACAAGCTGGCCCATGAACTGTGCTGAGTAGGAAAGTCCAAAGCTATTACAAAAATTACAAATTCCTGGCCTAATAGGAGATTCAGATTAGTCCATAGTTGAATAAGCACCCTACAGTGTTTCTGACTCCCAGCTGATCACTGTATCCCCCGAGATCCAGGTCTTCGTGAAAAACCCGGATGGCAGGAGCCTCGCCTATGCCATCCATCCCTACCACCTCATCCTGGGCCTGAAGCAAAATTACTAGAATACAAGAATAATGTCTAAACTACACCGACCAAAATCTAAACTAACCCTGATCTGTCTTTGTGCTACCTTGAGAGATTCCCTTTTCTCTGTAGCTTTCATTTTCCTCATCAATAAAAGATTGAAGAACTCAACTGGATTTTTTCCCCTGGTTTTAGAAATTGAAACCAGAGCCTTCAAAGCCCTTTTTATTTTTAGCTTTGAATCAGGGTCTCATTAAGTCTGCAAGTTGCCTTTTTTTTTTTTAGCACCTTCAAGCACTCACATTTAATTACACTCCTTTCTTTGGCCTCCGGGACAGTTCACCGCTAAAGACAGTCTTTGTTTGAAAACTACAATCCCCACAATTCACTCCGCCCTCTCGTAGGGTCACGTGGCAGGGTCAATTCATTTTCCACAATCCTTTGTGACAGCTCACGATGGCGGCCTCCATGAGTGATTCAGAGAGCAGCGGCAGTAGCGATGCGGAGGAGCTGGCGCGGTGCCGCGAAGCGGCTATGCCGGCCTGGGGCTTGGAGCAGCCTCCGCGAGTAGTGGAGAAACCAAGAGCTGGTAGGGAGTTGTCTTTCGGAAGGTTGCCCGAAAGGACTGGGGACTCAGAGCATGGATGGGGAGGATGGGGTTACTAGGATTGGACTTCTCAGAGAGAGCTTCAGGAGCTGCAAGGCAGAGTCAGAGCGAGAGCGGATGTAGCAGAGAGGGTCGTTATGCCAGGAAAAGAAACTGAGGTACCTGGATGTCTTTATTCCACTTTCTTGGGGTCATCCATACCGCCGCGCACTAGGAAGGCCACTACCCCTGTGAAATAACAGCGACATCCTTCCCCCACCACGTACCTTGTATAGTCGCATCTAGCCTTTCTTCTCTAACACATTCCGCCCTCGGAGGTGGCTGACAGCTGTGTGCAATGTGTCGCTGACCTTCATTACCTAATGTCTTGGGGGTAACTCTGAAGCCCTGCAACAATAAGGGTGCCTAATTGCGATTGGTGTCCAGCGGTTCCTTGAGTTTGGAATGGAAAAAAATTGTACATCTTTATTTTCCTTAATCCCTAACAGAAATGTAGCATCTCTGTCGTGCCTACTACGACCAACAAGCCACAGTTACTTTGACCGTGTTGCTTTATTCCAACAAAAGTTACCAGATTTTCATCTCTTTACAGTCTTGCAGATATATCAAAATATTTTATTCAAAATAAAATATTAGGAACTCATTTACACTCATCTATACTTTATAATTACTGTAACTTTTAGACACATTTCTAGATCTTGATTTAATAAAGATCTTCACTACTTAAAGAAACATATATTAAGATTATAAGTTTACTATTATATAACTAAATTTCAGTATTATTGGGGGTTTGTAATTGTATGTGTTGCATATTTATGCATACTTAAAGTATCGTTTTAAGAGGCGATTGAGGCTTCCCCAACTGCTGCGGGAGGCCATGGCAAAGCAAGGTTAAGAACCCCTACATTTGTTTATAAGCCCTCTTGTGACCCACTTTCTTTCTGTCTGCCGTTCCCTTTTTACACGGCTGCCACACTCCACTTCCAGAAGGTGGACTCCAGGTCATACACTCCCCTCTCGTCTCAGCTCCAGCCCTGCAGTTTCTCTGCAGGTTCTAAATTCTGATTTGCCTCTGTCTCCATCTCTACCACTCACCAGCAGTAAAAACCTGGGCAGAGTATTCACAATTCATTGTTCCTAAATTTCCTCATCTGTGGTAACTCAGATGACCCGTCTAAAGTGCTTGGCACATATTAAAGCCCAACTAATGGCAGTAAATAAATGTTTGGGTTCTGTATGGACTGCTTTCCCCCTCCTTCCTAACTCTTGCTTTTGGGCACAGTACCATTCGCTGAGATAGTACCTCTTTGGAGAGCTTCTCAGTCCTCCTCGGCTGGGTTGTATGCTTTCTCTGTGTTCCCCCACTATACTTTGTGCGGCTCCCTTCCTAGATAGCACCTTCCTTTCTTCCTTCATTTTGTCCCTTGCCTTGTCTTGTCTTTTATTTTTGTTTTTCTTTTATCTCTGCATCCTCAGCACCACAATACTTGCCCTACAAGTACTTATGTCAAGGTTGTATGATATGAACTTCACAGGGCTGGTATCTGCTCTGTTCCTTTACCATGGTGTTTTGTCAGAACCTAGCACCATGCTCAGAAAAACAGTTCTTACACTAACGAGCTTGTCCCAAGGACACCTCAAAGATGAGTGAAAGGTCTGAGGTTCCAGCAGAGTCCCAGTCCAGTTCCTTCTTCTTTGGCACAGTAGATGCCTGTATGACAGTGCTAAGAGGGTTCAATATGAAATGTTGGTCATAGACAAGGAACATAACTCCTGGAAACCTCAGCTTCCTTATCTGTAAAGTGTCTGACTTTTCAGACTAAAACAAGCTTTACCTAGCATCTGAAGACATAAACATCTGAGAAGTAGCATCTAAGGTATCATCTTTAGAACTCGTTTTTGTAATGTCCATAAATCCCCTGCTGATCAGAGCAGGTGTAGCGTTGATAATAAATACCGTTATTTATTGAGCACAACTGTGTGCCTGGCAAGATGCTAGACGCTTGGACATTCTTGGGTGATTCTAATAGCTATGCCCTTATTCTACACACTTTGTATTTGTTGTCTGTGTTAATTTTTCCGGCAATACCACAAAGAAAATATGATTACCCCCATTTCACAGATGAAAACAACTGATACTCAGGATCTTCCAGATTCTAAGTGGAAGAACCAAGGGTAAATTCAGGTTATCTGACTTCAAGCCATGGTCTTAATTGCTTTTATGTCACTCCTTGCCACAGACAAGTGTGTGTTATAGACAAAATTCCCAGCCTTTGGTCCTCCTCAAAGCCCAGATCCTCCCCTTGGCAGATATGGGTGCCCTTGGTGATTTGTCTCCCACAAGCTCTCTGTCTCCTCTCCCCCCCCAGCTGGCTGGATGGTCTCTTTGCTGATTCTCAAACACCACACAGGTTCCCATCTCGGGAAGATTTTCCTTGCTCTGCCTAAAAGGCTCTCCAAGTTTCCACTCAGCCTCCTCCCTCAGCTCCCAAATTGCTGTTCAGCTGTTACCTTACCTGACAAGCCCACAGCTGCCTGCTGTCTCCCCAGTTGTGTTTTTGTGACTTTCCATGCACTCACCTTTATCCAGTTTTGTATTTTGTTTATATGTTTGTCATACATCTGCACCAATGAAAACTTAAGTTCTTTGAAAACAGGAACACATGTCGAAGTTCAACAACCTGGATATGTGGCTGTTAATTGGCATTCAGTATTTAGTTCAATAAATGACCACCAGGCCAGGCATCCCCAGTGATGTGACTTTAAAAACAGCATCACAACAAACAGCCGCCTGCCCTCTTCTCCCACAGCACTTAGCACACAGCCAGGCACATAGTAGGTGCTCAGTTACACTTAGACTCACCAGTTCTGCATGATGTTAATGGGGGCTGGGAGCCAGCTATCTTGGGTTCTGTCCCAACCTGGTAGAATTAGCTGTTAGACACCAGCCAAGGTATTTTGCATCTCCTTGACTTTCTTATGCACCATGTTGATAATGGTTGCCTCTCTGATGGGATTAGGGAAGATTCCCTGAATTACACATGTAAACCACTTAAAATAGTACCTGGTACTCAGGAAGTTTTGTCACTGTTAAAACTGTCATTCCCTTTATAAATGCTTCAATTTTCATTTTTTTCCAGATGCTGCAAATAACCAGTTGCCAGCCACCCAGCGGAGCCTCAGGTACTGTGCAGTTGGGACCGAAGTTTCATTTACTCCTTGTATTAGTCAGCTTTCCTGTTGCTAGCACAAAGTACCTGATACTGATCCTAAAGAAAAGGAGGTTTATTTGGCTCCCGTTGCACATGATTGTTTGACTCAGGGCAGAACAGCATGACACAGGGTCATGGCAGACGACAGCTGCTCAACTCATGGCAGCCAGGAGCAGAGAAGGGAGGAGCTGGGGACAAGAATACACCCTTCCAGGTCACCTCCCCAGTGACCCACCTCCAACCAGGCCCCGCCTTCTAATAGTACATTTAGCTGTGAACTGGTCAGTGGAGGAATCTGTTAATGCCTGTAGTATCCACATGATCCAAACACATGGGAAACGTCTTAGATCATCATCAAGTAGCGATGCCCTGTGGGTGCCAGATGGTAGGGCAGAGTCCATGATGTGAGAGGACGAGACAGACATCGTCCCCACCTCGTGGGGCAGCTTCTGAGCTGCCTGGAAGTGAGATGCTTTGTGTGTGTTGTAGGCATAAAGTGAATGAGCACGAACAAGATGGCAACGAGCTGCAAACCACGCCCGAGTTCCGAGCACACGTAGCCAAGAAGCTGGGTGCGCTGCTGGACAGGTAAGACAGCGTACCGTCTCCTGTCCCGCCCTCACTGACAACAGCAATGGCGAATGTGAGCTTGTGTATTCTGAACAGCATGTAACTTCTATCACCCGGGGCATCCGTAAGCAGCACAACACAGAGGTCCTGCTGTGGTCCCTGCTCTCTGGGTGAGGAAACAGATGCCCAGCCAGGAAATGTGTTTGGTTGAAGTCACAGGGAGTAAGGAGCAGAACTAGGTCTCAAGCCCAAGGCGTCCGGCTCCTTGGCCACTGTGCTGTCCTGCTAACCTGAGAATACGAGAGGAGCATGGAGAAGCAGGAACTCATCCCACAGCAAGAGGGCGAAGGAATACGAAGGCTCCTGGGTGCCTTCAGTGTGCCAGGCGCTGTGCCCTGCTTCCCAGCCCTTCTCTGAAGATCAACGTGGCCCCTCCTAGGGCCAGTGCCAGCAGCACTACTGTCATGGTCCACTGGGGCTGCGTGATAAAACACTGTCCACTGCCGGCTTGCAAACACCAGAATGTCTTTCTCACATTTTCAAGACTGAGAAGTCCAGGAGACTCGGTGTCTAGTGAGGCCTTCTTCCTAGTTCATAGATGGCACCTTTTCCTGTGTCCTCATGTGGAGAAAGGGCCAGGGTCGCCCTTGAGCTTTGTTACAAAGACACGAACCTCATTCCTGAGGTCTTCACCCTCATGACCTAGTCACCTCCAAAGGCACCACCTTGTGACACCATCACCTTGGGAGTTAGGGTTTCAACATAGGAATTTTAAGGAGATAGAAACGTTCAGACCTTAGTACCAACCCAAGATGTGACTCTAGACAGAAAAGGGATCCGACGGCAGTGAAGTTTGAGAAACATTTCAGTCTACTCACCCTTAGGGACTGAGATCCTAATGGTATATTCAAAACGCTGAAAATTCCCATGAGGAGAAAAACTGTAACTTCGTTTGGCCCGCACTTAGCAAACCCATCTGACCGTGGTCCCATTGCTTCACAGACCAATTGACATATGCAGGACACATCTAGGAACATTATGCTAAGGCCATTCCTAACTGAAGAACCCCAGCAGGTTTTAAAAGGGAGGTGAGGATTTGACACCCTGGCCCCTCTGTTTAACTAAATATCAGAAAGGACAAATGAGCCTTCCCAAAGCATGGACCAGCATTCTCATGAGACATGTGTCAGGCCAGAGCCCTGCCATCTGGGCCCCATGACATTGTGCCAGTCAAGGACACGGTGAAGGGCCATGTGCATGTCAGCAGTGGGACGCAGTTTTCCTCATAACTGCTGGGCTGCAGGTGACCCAGGCCCGAGTGGCTTTGCAGTGAGCTGTACATATTATTGTACATTTCTCTCCCAAGGGACTTCCATGAGATTCCACCACCCTGCTTATCTTGATGACTTTGGTGTCATCATAGCTACCATTTACTGAGCACCTGCTTGTTGCCAAGCTCTGCTGTAGGTGATCCATTTTCTGATTTAATCCTCTAGCAATCCCAAGAGACAGGAGCTGGGTACAGGTGGGTAATAGGGACTCAGAGAAGTGAAGTCATTTGACACAGCTAGTAAGGGACCCAGCCAGCATTCAAATCCCATGACCCACTGTGAATGAGATTAGTGGATTTTATCAAATTCCATTTCCTTGGGCCAGGGATGTAGCTCAGCAGCACAGTGCCTTACAGGCAAGCACGAGGTTGTAAATTCAATCCCCAGTACCAATAAAACAAAACAATTCCATTTCCTTGTTAAGCTATTGTACTGTAGTTTTGAATGTATCTGGAATCTCTGCATCAGTTCTCACAATAAATGTCAATCTATGATTATGTCAAATTCTTTAAACATAAAGGAAAGAAAATGGCAGGGCTGCCCTGTTCTGGAAACCAATGTCTGAACCACTTCTGTAGACTGGTCAGATTTCCCCTTTCATGCTTACTAACAAGAAGCCCAGCTCTACCAAGGGTATTGGAAGGGTTTTCTGATTATACTTCCAGCTGTGTCTGTCCCTCTGCTGTTATCTTTTGTCATACTGTGTGATTAAAACTTTCCGTACTTTCTGGAACAAAATGGGGTGTAAACAGATGATGCCTCACATGTGGGGCGTGTGAATCTCACGTCCTGTCCACACCTCCTCTCCCCTTAGCTGCATCACCATCTCAGAAGTAGTGAAGGAACCGAGAAAAGCCAAGGTACAGGAAGTGGCCTCAGGGGACAGTGGTGAGTAGTACACCGTTCATCACAGCCAGCGTTTATGAAGCACCTGCTGCATATCCCGGTGATGCAGTTTGGCAGAGCCCACACTGGAGGCAGGAAGGATGGTGATTGCCCCGGTGACAGACACAGGAAGTGGGGCTTTGGGGCACAGTCACCTGCCTGTGGAATTTCATCTGTCCTGGACTGGACCTCTTTCTTTGACCTCCACCACCCTCTGTCCAATCTGACCTCTTTGGAGGCTGCCCTAGAAGGCAGCTCAGCCGCTGGCTTCCAGGAGCCACAGTGTGGCAGCTGACACCCCCTCAGGAACCCCACCTCCGGCTCCATCGGGTGTCAGGCAGGTCTATCCTCTGATGAGGCTCTGTTTGCTGTCACACAACAGGGATGCCCAGGCCTGTGCTGCTGGACCAGGAGCTCCTGTGGGTGGAGGTGGCAGCCTCACACCTGGGAGAGGAGGCCTGGCATCCAGCGGTGCTGACTGTGCCCTGTGAATCCTAGGCTTCCGCCTCTTCTTCACGTCCATCCCCAGAGACCCCGACCAGGAAGCTGCTCCCCAGCCCCGCCGAAAGCGACAACCCTCCAGCTCCAGGTAAGAGCTCACGCCGTCCCCCCAGTGCTTCCCTTTGTTCCCCTCTGTCTTGCCCACTCCCTCCATTAGCCACATAGACTCCATTTGCGTCCAGAGCAAAGGAAAGGGCCTGTCAGGTCACCGGGGAAGTAGCACACCCAGCAGGAGGGTATGGAGGGCCTTTGGGGAGTGGCTTGGGATCTGTGCTACTTTCTAAGCCCCCTCTTGGCCAGACTCCTTCCGTTACCATATTTGCTTCCTTGGACATCTCTGAGGACTGGAAGCTCCCTATTTTATAGATGAAGATACGGAGGGTCCAGAGCTGAAGCCACTTACTGAGCTTACAGAGCTGCTAAGCAGAGGAGCTTGTATTGCAGCCCTGGTCTGCCTCACTTCGTGGCTTAGACTGAAGGAAGGCAGCCAGAGGCCGGTCCAGGGCCCATCCCACACCCTGCTGACCCAACCGGCCTCCCCTTACAGCAGCGAAGACAGCGCTGAGGAGCGGCAGCGGTGCCAGGAGGCGGCTGTGTCAGCCAACGACATTCTGCAGGAGTCAGCCCTCCATAGTCCTGTCCAGGGGGAGAAGGAGGCCAAGAAGAAGAAAAAGAAACTGAAAAAGAAAGCCAAGAAGGTAGACAGCATCACCACCTCACCCAGTAGAGCAGCAGTCCAGGAACAAGAAAAGGAATCAGGTTCAGTCAGCAGAGACCAGCAATCACCTGGGACCAAAAAGAAGAGGAAGAAGAAAGTGAAGAAGGCCAGCGGGGCTTCCTTATGCCCACTGACAAAGAGCGTAGCCGCTGTGCCTACAAACTGACCCTGGGTGCCATGCGCCCTCGCTCCAAGGACGAGGCTGCCAAGAGGGACAAGCCGTTTCCATACCTATCTCTCCAGGTTCCAGCCTTGGCTGGCAAGTCCAGACTCTGTCCCTCTGTATACCTGCTGAGGACTGGACAGACCTGTAGTTCTAGAACATTCTGTGGCCTCAGCTATTCAAGACAAATGGTCAGGCAGTGATGCCCCACCTCCCCCAGGCTGTCCATGGTGGACAAGTAAAGGGAGATCTTTCACTGTACGTGGTGGCACATCTTCTGATCCCAGCACTCAGGAGGCTGAGGCAGAAGGATCACTGTGAATTCAAGTCCAGCCTGGACTATATAGTGAGACCTTGTCTCTAAACATACAGGAAGCGGGAGGACCTTTCTCCCTCTCCAGCTGATTGTGAGACAGATCTTTAGGAAATGAGGGAAGGGGTCCCCAAGACGTCAAGGCCCAGACAAACATATTTCTGCCCCAACTCACATAGAATTGACAGAACATTTCAGGAAAAGGAAGAGAGGATTTTTTTTCCCTTCTGTTTTCTAGAATTCCCTTTCTCTGCATTGTGATTTTATGGGTGCAACAATGTCCCTGCACCAACTGGCCCGTGAGAAATGAGTGGTCAAGGGCCCAGAATTTGGGTGCTGAAGCACTTATGGATTATGGGATCCACGGCAGGTGCCCCAGGTGAAGGTGGAGTTCTGGCTTCCTCACCTTGCCTCAGTCTCAGAAAAACAAGGGAAGCCAGGCATGGTGGTGCACACCATGGGAGGCTGAGGCAAGAGGATCACAAGTTCAAGCCCAGCCTGGGCCACTTAGTGACTTGGCAAGACCTTGTCTCAAAATTTTAAAGATCTGCAAAAGGACTGGGGATTTGGTTCAGTGCAAAGGTCCTGGGTTCAATCCCTAGCACTATAAAAACAAAACAAAAAACATTGTGTGAGAGTCTGCCCTGGAGTCATCCCTGCTCAGACCCTTGGCTCACCCCCAGCTGGGTGACTCACAGACAAACAGGAAGCTTTTGTACATATCTCTTCGATTTTACTAAAAGTTAAATAAATGTCCAGCTTCACCCATAACTGGCTACAAGCTGCAGGGGGTACCGCTGTCCCTGCCCCTGCTCCTCAGTCCCAGCTGCAGGCAGCCCAAGGAGGCTGAGGTTCTCTGCAGTGGCCCAAGGCGATGAGGTCACACCTGCCCTGGTTCACACAGCTGTCCTGTGCCTCCCAGTGTCACTGAGGACTCAGACTCCTCAGGGTGGCTGCCCGTTGCCTGGGGCTCCCAAGCATCAGTCCTGGTCACGTGGGAAGCTTCTGTCTGCTGATCTCTCTGCTCTTCTCTGCCTCTGGACATCTCAGCTCTGTCCATTGCTCGGGCCCTGCTTCTTGCTGACCTCAGTAGTATCTCCCAGACAAGGAAAGGGTCCATAGTTCCCAGAGTCTCTAGAGGCTGCTGCTGTGGGACCTGGACTTGGCACAAGTCATAAGGCACCACAAGAACAAGGACAGCTTCTTGGCCCTGAAGTGGTCTTACTAGTAGAGGCAGGATGCCAGGCTGGCATCAGAAGGCACAATGGTCAGAGGAACAAGTGTTCATGAAAATGTGGTCCTACAGGCCCACAGGAAGGATGGCTCAGGATGAGGGGGGCTGGGAAAGCCCTGCTTTGCCCGATTAGCTTGAGCCACCGCCCCACCTTAGGTATGGGCATGGGCACCCCAGGCTCTGGCAGAGTAGCCACTGGGGAAGTGCATATACAGGTGGGTGGTGCAGAGGGCCAAACAGGCATGGGGTCACTGGCTGGAAGGAGCTGGGACAAGGTGGAGTGGCCTGGTGACATCAGTGACAACATGACCACATTGATCCAGGGCCTCTTGGAGCTCAGCAAGTCACAGCTGTACAAGCTTGTGTCACGAGAGTTCTGACCACCAGAGGTGCTTGTTCGACCCCAGGCTTCCACAGGTCCAGACTGGTGATGCCAGAGTCAAAAGCTGCTCCCTTTAGTTCCAAATAATAAGTCTATTAACCCAAGCAATGGAATAGTCCCTGCAGAGGCCTGCCAGGAACAAGCTTCCCAGCTCTCCGTGGTCCCCTCTTGTGCAACTCACAGCCCTCCTCTGGGTGGGACACCTCTGATCTGTCCTCTTTTGATGCTGGCCCAGCAAGATGGGGACCAAGGCACAGGTTTCCAGGGAGGCAGCAGAAGCTTGGGAGGCCCGTGTGTCCCAGGCACCTGTGGTGGTTGCTGTCCTCACTCCCTAAGCAGGCAGTTCAGGCACTAGCGCTTGGGAGGCAGTTGCCATAGTTACTGGGAGGAGGAAGCCATCTGCGTGGAGATGAAGGTCTCAATGACACTGTGGTTGGATGGCAGCAGGTGGCTGTGGCCGTTGGTGGAGTCGGAACTCTGGTACAACACCAGGCTGCTGGAGGACACTGCGGAGGCAAATGAGGCTGCTGACTGCTGTCCAGGGCCCCAAGCCCACCCCAGCTAACTGACCCTATGGGCACTTGGGAAAGGAGTGGCTATGGCCTCCCCTCCTGAACCATGTTACTGAATTCCAAAGCCAGACCTCTACCCTCAGTTCTAACAAGGGGCGTCTCCCAGCCAGGCTCTGGAGCCATCCAGGAGTGACAGAATTTTTTAGTGTCGACACTGGAAAGCCCTGGCCACATGGTATGAATTAGGTTGTGTGTTAACTCGGTTAGGCTGAATCACACACTCATCTGGGTGTGCTCAGAAGGTACTTTGTAGACATGGCTAACACCTGACAGCCAACTGGCTTAACAGTGGTGACTGTCAGTAGCACGGGTGGGTCTCATCTACTCAGCCAAAGGCCATAAGAGCAGAAACTGAAGTTTCCCAGAAAGAACAAGTTTTGAGACTCCTTCCTGAGTATCCACCACTGCCAATGCAGATGACAGATGCCAGCCCCCGCCACCGTGAGCCAGTTCTGTAAGGGAAGTCTCCCTCCAACAACCTATTGGTTCTGTGTCTCGGGAGAACCCTGAGGATGGAAGTGGTTAAGAGAACCAGCAGGCTTTGAGGTTCTACCTGGGTTCAAGTCCTGGCTCTGCCACCCAGTAGCTGTGGGAGATGGGACATGTCTGTCACCTCCTTGAGTGCCCACTTTTTCATCTGTAAAATGGGGACAATAATGCACAGAGCTGGCTGATGCAGTGCCCTCACTAACTGACACTAGAGCCATCTGGGCGGGAAGGGGGACGCAGGCAGCAGCTTGCCTGAAGCCAGTTAGCAGCCTGACCCACTCGTGAGGGTGCTCACTCTTGGTCGTGACATTGTAGTTGCAAAATAAAGGCCTCTAGAGTTGCTGGGGTAAGGACAAAAGTGGGCAGAGTGGGATGGTGGGCCCAATTTCCATTCCAGCTTGCCCAGAGAAGCTGGATTTATGTGTGAAAGCTTTTTAGATGTTGATCACTAATTAAGACTATTAACCCTTAAGCAGAGTCAAACCAAACACACCGTGAGCCCGTTTTGGCCCTGTTTACTGCTTGTTGTTCCCTTCTGCTGCCTCTTCCTTGTTACCTGATCCCCTTCTCAGTCTAGTCCTGAGCTCTTCCTGTGAGTCCGGCCCCATACTCACTGGGCTATGTTTAGGGGGCCGGAAGTGCTCCCCAAACTCCCGTCCATCCACTGCACACACCGCCTACACCCGGACTGGGGAACATCCAAAAGAGGTAGCTCACCTGTGGGGCTGGTGCTGAGCCGGTGGGCAGGCTGCAGATGCTGGATGCCCGCAGGGTCCTGGCTGGGGATGTGGATGGTGGTGGCCGGGGACGCTGGTGCATGAAGCCCCGACTCACTGGAAGCCTCGGTGTCTGAAGTAAAGACCTGGGGAAACAGCAATCCCCTGAGCCTATGGGGCATGAAGTGGGAGGCTCAGATAGGACTGGAAGGCCAGGCATGCCCGGGCCTTACCTGCTTGGTGGGTGTGAGGCTGGTGAGGGCACTCAGGTTGGTGGTGTCGGTGATGAGCATGGTCTGCTGAAGCAGCCCTGTGTGTGTGTACTGGGCCACGTCAGGCTTATGGCTGTAGAGGGCTGTCGGGAGGAGGAAGAGAGAAGAGGAGGATGCAGACATGGCACCCTGGGCCAACCTGAATGCCCCCTTCCAGGCCAAGACTGGTGCCCTGGGGGAAGTGGGTACAGTGCCTATCAAGTGCCCAATGGTGCAGTAGTTGGGGACCCATAGCTGTTGTCCCAAGTGGACAGCACCGGAAGGACTAGATCCTATCCCTCAATACAGGGGCCTGCTCAGCTGGATGATAGCGAACAGCCTAAAAAGGGCAGGAACCAACTCCAACTCCTCCTGTCACCTGGTGACAGCAGGCATGAGGGGAAGTGGAGGTTGCTGTACTCAGCACAAGGGCTACTGGACTAAGCACAGGCCCTGTAGTACTAAGTGAAGGAGCTGCTGTGAAGGCGCCTCAGAAGCAAGGGCAGGTGGCCTTCCAGAGTGACACGGTGAGGAGCGCCTCTCCAGCACCTTAGTGTCCCACCTGCAGTTCCCCGACCCCAAGAAGCACACAGACACTCCATGCACAGAGGAGTATTCTCACTCTGACTCGGGAAGAAGCGTAACACCTGTGCACACCTATAAGCCCTGCACTCTAGGAGGCTGAAGCGGATCACAAATTGGAGCCTTGCCTGGGCAGCTTAGCAACTCAGTGAGACCCTGTCTCAAAAAAAACAAACAAAAAACCCACTGAAGATATAACTCAGGAGAAAACCCTGGCTTCAAGCCCTATTACCACACACGTGTAACACCCATATGCACACATGAATACATGTGCTCTCAGCTGTGCACACACAGAGACATATACAGGTCCATGATCCATTTTCCCAATCCTAAATTCCAAAAAGGTCTGAACTCAAAAGATTTCTGTAAGTTTGGCCCCAGAGCTTGTTTGATGGCAAAAGCCCACCTGAGCAAAGCATGAGGTGAGGTGGGTCTTTAGCTGCTCCATGGCGCTCACTGCCTCCTACGGCAACAGTAGTATTTGGAGACCAGGGTGCTGCCCAGGCTCTCCATGGGTTGTATGCAATGCACCAAATCTCCACCAAGCTAAGGCTTCTGGAGAAAGGGCTGAGACCTGTGCCATACATGGACATGCACACCCAACTGGGAACACCAACCAGTGGAACCCCTGGATGTGCATACTGAAATGGGCTGGGTATCTGCTCACACAGGCATGTTTGTGCACACAGAGCTGTGCAACAGTATGTGTCATGGAAATGCTCTGAGGCCCACAGACACCCTCTGTCACAGAGGTACTGGCACCTGTATGAGATGCATAAGCATGACACCTGCTAGGCCACCTTCTTCCCCAGTGTCACCCACAGCCAGCCCCCGAGCCAGGAAAAGAGCGCTCACCGTGGGGGCTCTGCAGCTGGGCCATGGTGGCCATGAAGGGGCTCTGGGCTACGTGGCTCTGCACGGGTGGCATGAGAGGCTGCTGGTAAGAGGGGTGTAGCGACTGGGAGAACTGGACTGGCTGCAGGGTGGTCAGGCTGCTGCCCATGCTGTTGATGACTGGCACACTCTGGGCCTGAGTGGAGGCCAGGCCTGGGGTAGGAGGGGAAGGTGTCAGCCAAGCATCCATCCCCCACCCCACTGTCCCCCGACCCCTTCAGGTACCATCCGCCCTTCCCAGAGCCAAGGGCTTGGAGCATAGGGGTGCTTGGACCTGCTACTAACTTAAGTGCTCCTGGCATGTCACTCTGTGAGCCATTAGTTCATCATGTGGGCCAGTGGGAGAGGAAGGCAGTGATTAGATCAAAGGTTGTCTTACGGGTCTCCCTGAAGTGTTGAGGTTCCACAGCACTGCAAAGGTCCTGGATTTAGCTCTCCACTGCCTTCTATTTCTTCTTAATATTGAGCAATATCATACATTTGCATAATAATTGTCTGCAAATTAAGCCTTGTTGGGCTTAATAAAAATATCTATCCCCTTTACCCTGTCCTATTCTTCCCACAGACTTCTGCTGTTCTAAGGTACTGCAGAAGTTCTGCATTGTGCTTACTGCCAGCCTCCCCAGACCATCTCTGAGATGTTGGTCTGTTTGGTTCCCTCACATGTCACTGATGCAGGTGCTGCCTGGCCCACAGTAGGCTCTCAGAAAATGATGCTGCATGAATGAGCCCCCCAGGCTCTTCCCAGCTGCTAGATTCTGCAGGAGCCCCACTGCCCACCCCAGGTGCCCCACCCACCCCCAGCTTACCAATGACCAGGGTGGAGGCACCTGTGTTGGTGAACGTGGGGCCCAGAGAGGCAGGCTCACCAGGCCCAATGGCCATGACACCGGGCAGCGAGGCCATGATGAGGTTCTGGGGCTGCTGGTTGAGGCCTGGGGATGTCTGCTCCAAGCTATGTAGGGCTGTCAGAGTGCTGACAGGGGGTAGGGGACCCCCAGTAGCTGAGACCTGCAAGGGGAAGCCAAACTGAATCAAGGTGGATTCCCACACTGCCTTCCTGGGGACCGCTCTAGGGTTTCCTAGCCAAAGGAAAATGTGGTTAGCAGGGTTTCCACCATAGATGGGGGACACTCACCAGCTTGGCTTCGGTGCTCAGCAGGCTGTGGCTGGGCTCTAGGCCTGTGGGGGACACTTGGTGCAAGGGTGTAGACACTGTCACTAAGGGACCACCACTGCTTGAGGGCACCTCTGCCGCCTCGCTAGCCGCAGGCTGTCCATAGCGCACACCTGGAGTGGAAAGCAGTGTCCAGCCTCAGCACCCACTTCCCGAGCACACCTGCCTCAGCCTCAGCCCTCCAACTGCACTGGTTTACTGAGGCCAGTAGCTCCATCTTCTATTAAGCAACCCCCAAACTGTCCTACACTGGCTGCTTCCAGCTCCCTGAGCGTGGAGACTGCCCTGCATCTGCACTTCCCAGCACAACCCAACCTGCAGTAGGTGCTCAATAAAAGATAATGGAATGAAACTGAATTGGGGCCTGTGGAATAAAACCAGAGTGAGCCGAGTTGAATAAACTGAACTGGATTTGGTTGAATTAAACCACATTGAGGTAAATTGAACCTCAAATCAGTTGCGTTTGAGTTTGATTGAGCAAAGCTGAATTGAATCAAATAGAATTGAGTATCACGGTCAGCCCCCTGCATCTGTGGCTTCTGCATCTTGGATTCAACCAACTGCAGATTGAAATATTTGAAGGAAAAAAAAGTGTATTCTACACATTTTTTTGTCATTCCCTAAACAATACAATATAAATAGGCAGCATTTACAAGGGAGGATGAGTGTAGGTTCGATGGAAATGTTACCCCTCAAAATATGGAAGGAATTTGAGTATTTTGGATTCAGCACGGAGACCTGAAACAAACCCTCTAGAGATACCAAAAAATAACTGGGCAAAATTAACTGAATCTCACTGAATGATGTTTCAATTAAGTGGAATGGTTTGCATCAAACTATGCTAAATTTCAAGGAACCAAACTGGATTGTAACCCATTGAACACACTGAAATTGAGTGTTTAACTGAATTGAATTGAGCCAAGTTAAACTACAGCGGTTTGAGCCAAGGGATCGGAGATGAATGTGTTCCAGTCAGTGACCCAAAGCAAGCTGGGCTGACCGGGATGGGATGGGGTGAAAAATGGCGTGCAGTGGCCGCACACAGTGAGCGGATGGAGTCGCAGGGCTGGTGTGCAGTGAGCTGGCTGGAGAGGGTGGAACGGGGTGCTGTAGATGGGTGGAAGGTTACATAGTAGGTGGAGAGTAGGTGGACGGTGTGGTGAATGGACTGTCACGGGATGATATGGAGTGGAGTGGGGTAGATGGGAAGAGGTCGAGAACAAACGGATGGAGGGGAGCGGTTGGAACAGAGAAGTGTGGAGCGAATGCAGTGAAGCAGATGGCATCCAGGAGTGGCACGGTGACTGCAATAGAATGAGCCAAACCGCAGCGCTGAGAGATCTGGGTGGCTACTGCCGTGGAGTCATCCTCCCCCGCCTCCCTCCCTGTTTGTCCCCTCTATCTGCCGTCCCACCTCCCCCCACCGCTGCCACCACACAGCACTCACCATGGACCTTACTCGGGGAGAGAGCAGGTGGCGGCAGGCCAGGGGAGCTGTGGGCAGGCAGCGCAGGCCCTGGACCTGGCCCCGGCGAGGGTCCGGTGTATGTGTCCATGGCTAGCTTGTGCCGGAAAGCTTCTTCCTTGCGCCGGTTGGCAAACCAGTTGTAGACACGCACCTCAGTGACAAGGTTGGAGCCCAGCCCCTGTGCCTGTGATGGTGACACCCCTCTCTGGATGCACTCTGCCCTGCAGAGGTGACCACCCATGAGCCTCCAGGCCAGGCTCAGAAGAGCGCTCACCTGGGGGTGTGGCGGGCAGCGGTTCTGAGAAGTTGAGCTCTATCTGTTTGGGGCTGGCAGATCTGGGTTCCAACACTGCCTCTGCTGTGTGACATTGGGTAAGTGACTTAGTCTCTCTGACCTTAGTCATAATGTGGGCAAGATAGCCACACCTTGTGGGGTTGTGGAGTGGATGAAATGAGATGAGATGAGCAGCCCCCAAAAGGGTTGCTTAGGAAGGTGAGGGATGCTAGGAGTGGATCTAAGTTCAAGACACTGAGCAGATATTGAGTCTGCTCCACTTTCTGGGCCAGACCAAACAGAATCACAGCAGGAACTCTCAAGAACTGGGGAGCCTCCCATGGGGCCCAAGTCACCCTACCTCAGCCCTGCCCAAACCATTCCCACCACCAGCCAGCCATCTACCGATTGCATTCCTCCACCAAGGTTTCTCGTTCCTCCTTGCTGGGGTTCTTCTGCCTCTCATAGGCCTGGAACAGGATCTGCTGGGAGGCTGGACCCCACTTGAAACGGTTCCTCCTCCCCTTCTTGGTAGGCAGCTCATCACCAGTGGGCTCTTCGATCAGCCCACCCTGCCCTGCATGGGTAAACTCTGTAGACACAGAGAGCCATAAGTGGGGTGCCAACCACTTCACCTTTCCACACCACTCACCTAACCAGGCCCCTGATTTTCTCTCACTCCCAGGGTGCTGAACCAGTCTACAATTACAACTCAAAAATCATCTGATCTGAGAATGACAGACATACAGCACACACACCACTACTTCCCTAACCTATGCCCAAGGCAGACATAACTAATCAACTCCTATATGCTTTTCTACTGAGCCAAGATATGATCTCCCCATCCTTCTCAACACAAGGCTCCAGTCAGTTTTAGCATTTACTCAGATTTGGCATATTTACTATCCCTATTTTATAGGTGAAGGTGAGGCCTAGAGAGGTTGTTGCATAGTTTTCCAAGATCACCACACAGAGAAGAAACTTGGAACTTTATCTCCTGGGTAGATTTAGAGCTATTATCAACTCTCCAGACTTGAAAATCAGGCTTGAAATGCAAGTGCTGGCCAGAAAGAAAGAGGGCCATCCAGCCCTTGTCAGCTGGCTCCACTTTATTGGCAATTAGTTCATCAGTTCATCCCTAAGCAGGCCACAGAAAGAATCAGAAAGTTGCAACACCCAGGGATTTTTATGAGCATAGGAGAAAAGAGCCCTCATCATCTGAGTTTCAAGGTCCAGGGAAAGGCAGGGAGTTTCCAAAGCCAAGCCTTGCCTGCTGCTAACAGCCACTTGGTAGAGACTTCAGAATCATCTGCAGCTGTGCTTGTACAGGAGCTCACATCTGCCCCAAGGGACTCAGGTATCCTGTGGGGGTGGGGGAACTGGGGATTGAACCCAGGACCTTCACCCTGAGCCGTATCCCAGGTTTTTTTTATTATGTGTCAGGGTCCCACCAAGTTGCTCAGGCTGTGCTCAAACTTTCAGTCCTCCAGCCTCAGTCTCCCAGAGTGCTAGGATTATAGGCATGCCTTACCACACCATACCTAGAGTACAAGACATTGTGATTTAAACCAAAACCTAAAACATTGCATCTTGAAAGTTATGCCAGTGAGGTCATCAAATGTCAAGAAAACCTAAAAAACTGTCATAACCAAGGAGCTTCAGGAGACACAAGAAATAAATGTAATGGATCCACATACGATGGGATCCTGGACTTCGCTTAACAGAAACAATGTATCACTACTGGTTTATTAATTATAACAAATATATCAAGCTAATGTTAATAATAGAGAAAAGGCATATGAAAATTTTCAATACTATCTAATTTTTCTGAACATGTATATGTGTTTTAAAATTAAATCTGAGCTGGGCGTGGTGGCACACACCTGTAATCTCAGCACTCAGGAGGCTGAGGCAGGAGGATCATTGCAAATTTGAGACCAGATTGGGCTACAAAGTGAATTCAAGGCCAGCTCGAACTGCATAATGAGATCCTATGTCAAAATAAATAAGAGTTAAAATTTTGAGTGTTTTTAATCCCAGCACTTAGGAAGCTGAGGTAGGAGGATTACCATAAGTTCAAGACCACCCTGGACTCTGTAGTGAGTTCAAGGTCAGCCTAAACTACATAGTAAGACCCTGTCTTTAAAAAAAAGTTTGAGTTTTTTGCCATTGTGGACTTGACAGGGAAAGGGAGGGAAAAATTCAAAGAACATCTGACAGGAAGACTACATATAATAACAGCTTTGGCTTTGTATATGCCAGTAAATTCTATTGAGTGCCCCCTTGTGGATTGATAACTGGTGGTCAATTTAAACACGAGCTGAACTGAATCAACGTGATGCTGAGTGTGGATGGCCCAGTGTTGGGAGCTGTTGAAGCTGGAAATTGAACACATGTGCAGAGCTGCAGCATAGCCAACCAGAGAACCAAGAAATGCTTCAAAGGGCAAGATAAGCTCACAGCTGAGGAGACCTGGCCCCAACTCCAATTGACTAAATAAAGACTGTAGGTGCAGGCATTTTACTATGGGCATGAAATGCAACTTGGTGACTTTCTTTTAAGATACTTCTCCTAAATTAACATAATCTGTTACTTGGAAAAGTCCCTGAACCACTCCCAAGGTCCTGCTCAGTTTCCTGCATTTTCCACTCTGACCCCTTCCTTGTTTGAAGATTAAATAAATACGGGCCACCCAGAGACATTCCTTGTCTTAGTCCCCCAGAGTCTCAAACTCTGCAAGAGGGTTTTAATCTTCCTGGAGCCCTAAAATCATACCACTTGTCTCATTTATTTTAAGCCTTTGCCATATACTTTTTTGGGAGATTCGGGATCTTGGCCATGTCCCTGAGAGCCCACCTGAGGACTTGCCAGCATTAAAAGAGGCCTGGAGAGGAAAAGTAGCATTATGCGTTGTGGTTTGGAGCCATTGGTTTTCCTTGTCATGCTGGCTCCCCTGATATGAACTCAGCTGTTATCAGAGGGGTTCAGGACCTTGTTGCTGAGAATGGCTGTGGTTCACTTTGGGGGAGCTTTGGTCCTTACTTTGAGCATCGCATCCTTGCTCCAGAGGGGAGGATGTGTGCTGTTTAATCTCCAGAAGTTTGTTATTCTGGCTTCCTGAAATGTACTCAGCTGTTCTCATCATTGGAGGAACATGGGACCTTACTGTTGCTGAGGATGGCTACGGTACTTTTCAGGGGCACACTGGTCCTTATTTTGAGTGTTGCTCCTTGACTCCAGTACAAAACCCTTGTCCTGCTGGCACAGACCCTTCACCCCCTGGCATAGACTTTCTAGTTTCCACGGTTGACCTGTGGACCTTCTCAGTGCAGACCCATGGGATAGACTTACATGGGTCATTGTTGTGGGCTCTGGGTTCTCAGCTGAACTCATGCAGGTTATTGCCATGAGATACAGGCCCTTGGCTGGATTTTCTAGGTCTTTACTGTTGTGGACAGATTTCCTGCACTTTCTTTGTATCTGACTCCTTGGATGAGCATTATAAATAATACCATAATTATGTGTCCTGTATGTAATTGTTATCCTAGCAATCCCTGACTACAACACCCCTCCACGACAGATGCCACTTTATCCCCACTGTATGAATGTGAGAAACAAAGTCACAATGTTGTGGCTTGGCATAACTGACACTCTCTTGAGTCCTGCATTTAACTAATGCCCTGTATTTGACTCAAGATACAAGTCCCATAAGAAAAGCAGAATGAGCTACACCCACAAGAGAAAAATTAACCTGTTCAACAAAAACAGCAGGATACAGGTGTCAACCAAAAATTCTAGCTAAATTGTTTGCAACAGGATGTCTTTTTATGATTCTCTATTTAAAAGCTTTGTAATTTTCCAGTTTGCAGCCAATCAGTGAGACTCTGAAATGGGTCCACATGAGTGGTCACTGAGCTCAGCTAATTAAATTCAAATTTATCAATTTGGCTGCTTGGATCCCTATACTGTTTATGAACCCACTTCAATAAGAAGGCTAAAAACTTACTGAAGTTTGGGGCTGGGGATTTAGCTCAGTGGCATAAGCGCCTGCCTTGTAAGCAGGCAGTCGTGAGTTCGATTCCCGGTACTGATAAAAAGGAAAAAGACAAACAAAAAAAACTTACTGAAGTTCACACATTTGATAAGTGGCAGAGCTGAGCTTACATTTAGATACCCTGTCACATTGCCTCTCATAATTAGGACACGTGGGCTAAGCATGATGGCATACACCTATAATCCCATTTACTCTGGAGGCTGAAGCAGGAGGAACACAAATTTGAGATGAGCCTGAGAAACTTAGCAAGACTCTATCTCAAAAATAAAAAGGGCTGGGGCTGGGGATTTAGCTCAGTGGCATAAGTGCCTGCATGGCAAGTGAAAGGTTGTGAGTTTGATCCCTGGTACCAGAAAAAAAATAATACTAATAATAAAAAGGGCTGTGTGCCTATGATCCTAGGGCTCTAGAGGCTGAGGCAGGAGGATCATAACTTTGAGCCACTGGGGGCAACTTATCAATACACTGTCTAACACTTTTTTAAAAGGTCAGGGGAAGTAGTTCAGTGGTAGACCATTTATCCAGCCTGCATAAGATCCTGAGTTCAATCCCCAAAGCCACAGAGGATGATGATGATAACATGCTAGTTACATCTGCTGCTGTTTTGATAAAGCCTCATTCAATCAAACGTCTCATTCATTCATTCATATGCTTTTGACAGTGTCATTTCCTTCTGCTGCCAGAAGTGCTGCCAGTGGGGACCTCACTGAAGCCAACAAGAACGCTACATGCCCCTGGCCACGGGGATTGCTTCCCTGGTCTTCTTTCAATAAATAAAGCTAGGTGGCCAATTGCATAGAAGGAAAAGAAATCAGTCCCAGGCACTGGTATCTTCATCCACAAGCTGAGAGGAAGAGTGAAGGCTGAAGCAACTTGCAAGGAAAAAAAATCAATCCTGATTTTCTGCCTCAAACCCTACATTTAAAAAATTCCAGCTAGATTGTGGCTCTAAATGTGAAAAGTAAAATAAAACTAAATGTAGAATAATTTCACAACCTTTGGTTAGACAAAGGTTTCAGAATACAGAAAGATTTCTGGATATAGAAAATACTAACTATAAAACTAACTATAAAATTAAAAATTAATAACTTCTGCTCATCAAAAGACATCAAATTTAGAAAGGACAAAGTAAACCACAGAATGAGAGAATATATATGAGTACATGTATTTTAAAGGATCAGGGTATTTTTTAACACTCACAAATAAATCAGAGAAAAAAAAAAAAGACAACCTAGGAGAAAAATAGGTAAACTCCTACTCCTTAAAGAGCATCTCCAAATGTCCAATGACCATCTGAAAAGAAACTCACCACAGTTATCAAGGATGGAGTTTAAACCAGGTGTGGCCATCCCTGTAATCCCAGCATTCCGGGAGGCTAAACCTAAAGGATCATAGGTTTGAACCCGGCCTGAACAATTTATTGACTTAGACTATGTCACAAAATAAAAAGCAAAAAGGACTGTGGATGTGGCTCAGTGAAAAGGCCCTATGTTTAATCTGCAGTACTGCAAAAAATAAAATAAAAATAAACAAAGAAAGTTGAAAGAGTTTTGCCCTAGAATAAACTACTTTACAGTTAGGGCGCTAGTCCAACATGGCGGAAGGCCAAAGCGGACCGCCTACCACTTCCTGTGTCTTCTCCAGCCCTAATTGCACCTCCCCTTCCTGTTTGCACACACAGAGAATTCCAATCAGCTCCTAACGCGTCATCAATGCCCGCCCTAAGCACCACCCCTGGTCAAAGGTTTCAAATGTCCCATACCCCATATTCCTGTGGAAGAAGACAGCCCAGCCAAGATGGGTTGTGTGTTCCTTCCCACATCCTCATCTCAATAAACCTGTTCTTTTTATAACTTTTGCTTCTCTATTGTGCCAGAATACGCTATCAGAAGTGAAAGTTAAAACCACCACGCAGGCCAGGGATCAGCGGCATAAGCGCCTGCCTGGCAAGCACAAGGTCATGAGCTCGATCTCTGGTACCAAAAAATAAAACATAACAAACAAAAAAAAGAAACACCAACCAATACCAACACACATCCATCCTAGCTATAAAGAAAAGGACTGACATTACTAAGTGTTGACAAAATCCAGGAGCACCTGGAAGTTTCCAATCCTGCTGACTGGAACTGATAACTATTTAACAGTGTCTACAAAACCACACTTATGCCTACTTTTTGACTTAGCAATTCCATAGCCAAAAAAAGTATATACACACCTTTAGCAAAAATCATGTACTGAAATGTTCATAGCAGCCCTGTTCACAATAGCAACAAATTAGAGGCAATCCAAATGTCCATCGAAGAAGAAATAATAACACATTGTATCCATACAATGGAATATTCACACACAGCAATGAGAATGGCCAATCTATAATGACAAGGAGCCACATGAATGAATCCGCAAACATAATTTGGAATGAAAGAAGCAACTGTATTATATAATTCAATTTGTATAAACTTCAAAACCAGCCATAATTATTATTGATTACTCCTACTGAGCAGAGATGGGGCTGCTGAAAATCTGAGCACGTATTTTTTATCAGCTTGGTAGTTACATTTGGTGTGCTTGGTTTGTGAAATTCACTGAGCTTATGCTTAATATTTGTGCACTTTTTCTATGTTAGACTTCATTTAAAAGTTTACATTACTAGGGCTGGGGATTTAGCTCAGCAGCATAAGCCCCTGCCTTGCAAGCAGGTGGTCGTGAGTTCAATCCCCGGTACCAATAAAAAGAGAAAAGGAAAAAAAAATGTTAAAAAAAAAAAAAAGTTTACATTACTAAAAGTAAGAAGAGTCCATTCAACTGAAAGTATCTGAAAAGAATTCTTTTCCTTCTAGGTTGCAAGGTGGATAGGATGCCAGCCCTATGCAGATATCATTAGAATCCCTGGATTTAGCTATGCCTGAATCAGGTCTGGACTCACGTTCATGAGCCAATAGATTCTTTTTTGTTGTTCTTATTATTTAAATCCATTTTAACTGGGGATCAGACCCTTGTTATTGAAAGAGTCCTAATCATTCAGGCATATGTTGAATATGTTGCATCTCAAATCCTCCAATATCTCTTTTAAGGTTAAAATTTCTCAGGGAATAGATATTTGGGGTACACTTTGCTTCTTGCTTCTAGGCTGAAATCTTTGATTGTAATTCTGATAGAAAAAATATACTTTATGCAATATTGTAAATTTTCTTCCAGATAGTTTTGAGAGACAACCACAGATTCCCTCAGAAGCTAAACCTTGTCTAACAGATTTTCAAAGTAAATATTTATTGTTTCTTCTCATACAATTGAAAACAGCACCAGAATACACTGTTATGTGCTATTTTTCTTTCAGTTGAAAGTGAACCATCCAAGTGTGGTACAGGAGGACACTCCTGTAATCCCACCACTCAGGAGGCTGAGGCAGGGGGATTGCCATGAGCAAGCTGGACTGCAGAGTGAGTTCAAGGCCAGCCTAAACTACATATGAAGACCGTGTCTTCAAACAAAGAAACAAAAAGAGGCAGAGTCCAGAACCTGGTGTGAGGGACAGTAGACATGAAGTAAGAATCAAGAAATGCCTATCATGCCAAGTGTTGTGGTGCACACCTGTAATCCCAACACTCAGGAGGAGGCTGAGGCAGAAGGATTGCCATGAGCTCAAAGTCAGCCTGGGCTATATAATGAGTTCAAGGCCTGCCTAGAGTACCTAGCAAGACCCTGTCAAAAGAAAGAAAAGAAAGATCTATTATACTATATAATATAAAGTAATTCTTTATATATTAATTACATGTTTTACATTAATAACATAACATGATCTATACAGTTCATGGGTATATAAATTGGTACCACTTTTTGTTTTTTCCATGCTGGGAATTGAACACACGGCCTTATGCATGCTAGGCAAGTGCTCTGCCACTGAACTACACTTCCAGCCCCTCTTTTTTCCTTTTGAAGCCAGGTCTCACTAAGTTCCCCAGGCTAGCCTTGAACTTGCAATCCTGTTGCCTCAGCCTCCAAAGTTACTGAGATCACAGGCATGCTCCACCATTCCTGTGTCTATCAAGGACTGTAAAGTACCACCTCTGTGATCCAGCACTTCACGTCTAGGAGTATCTCCCAAAGACAGGCTCGTATGTCCATCATGAGCTCATATAAATAAAGATGTTCTTTATAGGGCCTGGGGATTTAGCTCAGCGGTATAAGCGCCTGCCTTGCAAGTGTGTGGTCGTGAGTTCAATCCCTAGTACCGATAAAAACGAAAAAGACCAAAAAAAAAAAGATGTTCTTTATAACCACAAATTAGAAAGCCCCTAAAAGTCCTTTGATAGATGGCTAGTTAAAGAAATCATGGTACCTCCAATCTCTCAGCACTAATATGAAAAAATGTGCAAGATTTATTGCTAAAGGAAAGAAAAGTGAAGTGCCAAACATTGTGTGTACTGTATTCTCATGAGCAAAAAAAGAAGACCACATCTTACAGGCGCTGTGTGCATAAACTCTCTTAAAGGAGACAGAGAGCCTGGGGATCCTGTGGCTGCTCTAGGGGCAGGACCTATTTCGTTTTGCTTTGTTTTTATTTGTTGGGGTGGGAGGCTTTGTTGTTCTGTTGTTGCATTTTTTGGGAGAAGGAGTTTATTTTTTGGTACTAGGGACTGAACCCAACGCCTTCACACTGAGCTGCATCCACAGTCCTTTTTATTTATTTTGAGACAAGATTTCACTATACTGCTAAGCTGTCCAGACTGGGCTCAAACTAGCCATCCTCCTGCCTCAGCTCCCAGCTGGAAACTGGAAACTTAGCCAGCATATGGTGCATGCCTAGAATCTTGGCTACTGGGGGAGGAGGAGGCACTGAGATGACAGGATCACAAGTTCGAGGCCAGCATGAGCAAATCAGAAAGACCCTGTCTCAAAGATTTTTAAAAACGGATGGGATTAGGGCCTGGGGATTTAGCTCAGTGGCCTGCCTTGCAAGCAGACAGTCATGAGTTCGATCCCCAGTACCGATAAAAAAGAAAAAGACCAAAAAAACGGATGGGATTATAACCCAAGGGTAGAGCGTTTGCCTATATCCACGAGGCTCTGAGTTTCACCCCTGCCCTGGATTCAATTCCCAGAACTATTTTTAAAAATGGAAAATTTTTAAATGCCAGAAAGGTTTAGCTAGGCATGCTGGCACATTCTTGAAGGCTAAGGCAAGAAGATTTAAGTTTGACTTAGTGTCTTAGTTACTTTGCTCGCTGCTGAGACAAAATACCCAACACCCAAAGTTAAAGGAGGAAAGTTTTACTTAGCTCACAGTTTGTAGAGGTTTCAGTCCATAATCAGTTGGCTTCAAAGCAGGGTAGCCTTGCAGAGGAGAAACAGTTCATAGCAGGCAGAAGACAGCAAAGCAACAAGGGGCAAGACCAGCCTCTTTCTGTTCCTGATGTTGTATCTAAACTACCAGAATCAGGGTAGAGCCACACCAATCACTGGACTGATTTAGTAATCAGACACCCTTCATCCTAGCATCCTTAACTCCCAGCATTGCACCATGAATCATCACACACTCCAGATTCAGCCTCCTCCGAAAAAGCCTCACCTAGGATTGCATGAAGCTTTGGGGGGACATCTAGACACAAGCCATAACAATGAGGCACTGTCTTCAAACAAACAAACCAAAATTCAGGGGAAGATAGCTGGACTATGACTCAGTGCAAAGACCCTTGACTCAATTCCCAGTACAGAAAGAAAGAAAAAGGTTTTGACACATATATGGGTGCTCAAAAGTGTGAAAATGCACTTGAAATTTGGGGAGTCTGAGGCCCAGGTAAAGGAACTCACCATCCCGAGTAACAGTGCACCCCACTCTTCCTGGGTTTACAGTGGAGGGTCCCTGAGTGTCCACCTTGTCTCTGAGCCTTTACTGGAGTTGTTTCTCCTGTCTGGTACACCCTTCTCTGTATCTCCATAGGTCAAAATTTGACTCATACTTTAAGACCTAATCTAAAGGTTATGCTTCCAGGGTGCCCCTTCCTGAGACCTCTGTTTCCTGAAGTGGAATAGATCATCCTTCCCACCACAGTCTGCTCACCACGTAGAGATTCTTTAATACTCTGCACTGGGCCTGGTACAAAGTAAGTGCTCAATAAACACTAGCTCTCCCACTGATGTTGACTAGAAGGCGGGTCATGGACGATCATGGATATTGGTGAAATCCCACTGATTTCCCCTCCGCCTCCCTGCCTGTGTAATGAGGGGTGAAGCCCCAGCCCACCTGAGTCAGGAGAGGCTCAATCCCTGCAGGGAGGACCCAACTGGGTGGTACTTACGCTGTGCCACCTCTCGCTGCTTGCGGACGTACCAGGTGTACAGGGCGGCGCGCTTCTGAGTCTTCATGGGGGTCCCCTTGTTGAGGTGCTGGGACAGGTGGGACTGGTTGAGGCCAGTGGTGTCGACCACCTCGCGCTGCGGGATGTTGTGCTGCTGCAGGTAGGACTTGACCATCTTTGCCACGCGCCATGGGTCCTCCCTGGAAAGGGGGCAAAGACAGAATCTGGATCCTGAGGCTGGCGTCCTAGGTTCCAGAGCTGGGGCCAGCCCTGAGCGTGGGGATTGCGGGTGACAGCAGTTATGGAGCCCAGGAGCCTCACTTGGACCCAGGAACAGGGAGGCCAAGGCACAGCCCCCTGTATGCACAGACATGTGGGCGCGTGCAGACAGGGAGAGACTTCCACCCGAAGGGGGGCAACCCTGGAAGGGAGAGTCCTCGCCCAGGTGCCTCCATTAACACTTCTCCCCCACATCCTACCTGGGGATGTCAAATGTGTCTTCTCTACTGTGGGAAGTGGGGAACACTTAGGGCAGCAATGGTCTGGTTCTCAGCACCCAAAATGGGCCTGACATAGAGTAGTCAGTATTTCATTGCTGAGTAAAAGTGAGTGGACAGATGGGTGGGTGGATGGGCAGATGGATGGAGGAAACCTATTGGAAAAAGAAAAACAAAGGGCCAGGCCTGTCGGTGCACAGCTATAATCAAGCCCAAGGCAAGAGGATGTCAGGTGCAAGTCCCAGCTGGGCAATGCAGCAAGACTTTGTCTCAGAGTGAAAACTAAAAGGGGCGAGGATGTAGTTCAGTGGCAGAGCACCCCTGTTTGATTCCCAGTGCCACACACACACAGTAAAAAAAAACAAAACAAAAATGTGGCAAAGTGTTCCAATTTATAATCAGGCCCCCTGAGGCTTGGAAAGCTTGTGTCCCTTTCATCTCTCACTCAAGGTCACAGGGCCAGCCTCGAAGGTTCTGAATCTACACCATCAAAAGGGCATCAGTTCCAATCAGGTAAAAAGCACTCGGGATCAAAACGCCCGATAGTGCACACTGAGCCCTCGGCAGCAGCCCGGCTGGCTCCCAAAGCTGGAGGTGGGAGCTGCTTTTCCTGCGGTGTCCAGGTGGCGGGTGATGCACTGCATGTGACTGAGCACCAGAATCTCAGTCTGTGCACTGAGGTCTCCCAGGAGAGTGGGACTGGAGGCATCTGTGATTCATGTCCCTGTCCTTTGCTTTGCGTGGGTCTCCCAGTGGGAAATGGGAGGGATTAGAGTGCTCACATTGTGTACTGTAAATTCTCTCTTCCCCTCCTGCTTTCTCAAACCCCCACCCTCCACCCCTTAAAGTCACGCACATGTCAAATAAAGCTCAACACAGCAGTGCTAAAACAGGAAGAACCCAGGGGTATTTTAGTTTGAGGTTTGTGCACGTGTGTGTGTGTGTGTGTGTGTGTGTGTGTGCGCGCGCATGCATGTACATTGCTGGGAATTGAACCTGGGGCATTCTCCCTGAGCCACATCCCCTTTGTATTTTTATTTTGAGACATGTTGTAAGTTGCTAAACTGCTCAAATTTACAATCTTCTTGCCTCAGCCTCCCGGTGTCATGAGATTACAGATAAGTACCACTAGGGTCGGCTCAGAACTGAGATTTGAACCCGGGTCTGTGTGATTCCAAAGCTTGTGTTCGCCTCTTCCTGCTTGACCCCAGAAATCTGCTTCTAGAATCAGAGCCTTCTGATATTTGCCCATGTGACAAATGGCACGTGCTGTTTGTTGCTTGCCACACCATGAGACAAGGAACAAGCAGGACACTCAGCAAAAGACACCTTTGACATTCCAGGACCTCCTTTCTGTGCCCCCAGCGCGAGCTCTGCCTGCAAGTAGGCAGACGGTTCCTCTGATGTCTGGAAGGCAAACAGCCTTCCCACATATTCGTCTGTGTACACACGAAACAGCAGAGCACAAACAAGAACTTGGAGACCTTGGTACCACCACAGAGGAGAAGATGCTGGGGACACAGTGACAGGGACAGTTTCTCTGTAGCTGTTCTGTACCTTTTAAAGTATGTTTCTCTTATATGAGAAACCCAAAGCATACAAAATTTACAGAGCAAAATAAAAAATAGGTAACAGTAAACAGGGAGCTAGATCTGTGAATGGGTCTAGCGGTGGAGGGAGAGAGGGACAGAAGAGGGGAAGGGACTCAAAGGCCTTGAGGCTGTTAGGTGCACGCACCACCTCCCCACAAAGAATGCCATCCTTATGTACAGCAAACAAACCTGGGCTACATTTTTCTTTAATCAAAACAGGTGATAATTTTAAAAGAAGCAGGAGGTTGAAAGTTCAAAGCAGGCCTGCCTAACAACTTAGTAAGATACTGTCTCAAAATAAATTTAAATTTTAAAAAAGCCAGGGGTGTGGTTCAGTGGTAGAGCATTTGCCTGGCAAACACTAGGCCTTGGGTTCTATCCCCAGTACCACAGAAAGAAAGAGAAAAAAAGGAAGGGAAGGAGGAAGGAAGGAAGGAAGGAAGCAAGGAAGGAGAAATTACACTAATTTATCATATATTATAAACTGTATAGTGATCCCTTGATATGCTTAAGAGACCCCAGGATACCCATGGGCAATAAAACCCATTAATGTTCAAGTTGCCTGTACAAAAGTGTGTAGTGTTTGCATATAACCTACACGTCTTCCTGTATACTTTAATTCACTTAAATACCTAATGCAATGTAAATGCTATAAAAATACATTGTTTAGAGAGTGGTGACAAAAAAAAAGGCCTGTATGTGTTCAGTACAAATATATTTTCTAATATTTTCTTTTCTGTTTGTTTGTTTTGGAAACACTGAGGACCAAACTTAGGGCCTCATACACACTAGTCAAGCTGTCTGCTGAGTAACAGCCCTAAGCTCTTTTTCTGATTTATCGTTTTCAGTTCTAAGGATTGAACCCAGGACCTTTGCACTGAGCTATGTCCCCCAGTCCATTTTATACTTTGAGACAGGATTACTCACTTACAATCTTCCTGCCTCAGCCTCCCAAAGTGTTTGGATTACAGGTATGTGCCACCACACCCAGCCATTTTCCATCTAGTTAGTGGATTTCACAGATTGGAACACATGGATTCAGAACGTGGACAGGGAGAAGGCCAATATTTGTATATAATATTCAAAACTAAATTGTAAGCTGGGGAGGGTAACCCAAGTGTGATAGCCCCAGCGCTCGGGGAGACTGAAGCAAGAGAATCACAAATTCAAGCCTAACCTGGGCCTAATCTGTCTCAGAGCAAACAAAACAAAAAACAACAACAAAAACTGGCTCGTGTTCGACTCCTCACCCCAAAAAGAAGGGGGAAAAAAAAAACCCAGCTCATGCCTGGCACCCTCAGGCCTTCTCAGCTGTGAGGGCACAGAAGGAGCTGTCCTGGTCAGCTTTCAGCTTTAACCTCTCCCTTCCTTTTATATCAGTGATTCCCACATAGGCAAGGAGAAAAACCAGGTGGGGATAGACAAATATAAATTGGTCCACAATAAATACACCAAGTCCCTCTTGCATGCAGAATGTTAGTGGTGACGATAATGTTCCTGAGCATCTGCTGAGCCAGCACTGTCCTGCCAGCTGGCCATTTTGTGTGTGTGTGTGTGTGTGTGTGTGTGTGTGTGTGTGTGTGTGTTTCGTTTTTATTGGTACCGGGGATTGAACTCACGACTGCCTGCTTGCAAGGCAGGCGCTTATGCCACTAGGCTAAATCCCCAGCCCCAAGCTGGCCATTTAAATGTCACAATGATCTTAGGAAGGAGGGATAGCACGACTGCCCACTCCACAGGTGAGAAAACTGAAGTTCAGGAAGAAGGGTAAGTTAGTTGTTCAAGGTGACCTAGCTGGCTCTTGTGTCACATGCCTATACTCCTCGCACTCTGGGAGGCTGAGCCAGGAGGATCAAAACTTCAAGGCCAGCCTTGGCAACTTTTGGGGCGGGGGGGAGGGGGGTCTTTACTTTTTTTTTGAGACAGGATCTTGCTATGCAGTTCAAGCTGGTCTCCAGCTCACTTCGTAGCCCAGGCTGACCTCGAACTTGCAATGATCCTCCTGTCTCTGCCTCCTGAGTGCGGGATTATAGGAGTGTGCCAGCACACCTGACTCTGGGCAATTTATTGAGACCCTGCCTCAAAATTTTAAAAAGCTGAGGATATGTCTGGTGATAGAGCATTCCTGGATTCATTTCCCAGCACTGAAAACAATTATGTACTGTGTTGTGGGGACCCTCAGGCTTCTCCCAGCTTCTCTCTCTCCTGCCTTCGGGGGTTCCTGGGAGCCTCTCTTCTCCACCTGCCCCCTTCCCAGGTGCCAGTCTGAGCTGAGTGAGAGCTAGGCGGGAAGGGCAGTCCAAAGTCCAGCCTGTGCTCTGGCAAACATGTTTATCTGATGGCCTCCCTCCTCCCCAGCTGCCACCATGGCCTTCCTGCCTCCCCTCCTCTGTGTCCTTCCCACATGCATGGTGTCAGGCTTCTCCTCCTCTCCTCTAGGCCCAGACTAAACATTCACTTCTACCACTGTCACTTGGATATTTATATATTCATTCTTTCTCTCTCTGTGTCTCTCTCTATCTCTGTCTGTCTGTCTGTCTGTTTCTGTCTCTCTCTCTCTCTCTCTCTCTCTCTCTCTCTCTCTCTCTCTCTCTCTCTCGTTTCTCCCACACCACGTCAACAGGTCAAATAAGATAAAACCAAGCCCAGCCACCCGCCACAGACAGGCACCAACTGACACTGCTACGCTTATTACAAAGACCACACAGGAAAATGAGAAGTGAATATGGTCAAGTGATTGTTTCAGGTGAACTCCTGGGAACTTGAAGTTTTAAAACAGTTCCTAATAGAGTTGGACAACAAATTCACACAGACAACAACAAAAGTGAATTTAAAATGCCAGCGAAAAGACAGAAAGCCAAGAGGGCCTGTCTTCCCCTTTTCTAGAAGTCATGTTTTTTTCTAGAACCTACTGAGTCAGTCTCTCTGGTTCTGACTCTCTCTCTCTCTCTCCATCTGTCTGTCCGTCTCTCTCTCTCTTTGTCTCTGTCTCTGTCTCTCTCTCTCTCTCTCTCTCTCTCTCTCTCTCTCTCACACACACACACACACACACACACACACACACACACACACACCATCTTCCCATCTTCTCCAACTCAGAGCTAAGAGGCCAAGGCCCTGGGTATGATTTCCCATGAGCCACCTGCCTATTTATAGGGTAAATCCCCGTCTACTTCATGCTGCTCTCTGAGAAGTCAATGAGTTCCAGATGGGGATGGAGAGTCTGGAGCAGGCTGTCATCATCCTCACCATTCTCACCAGCAGTGTCATCCTGTGGCCCCCACAGCCTCACAGTAGAGCCCGGAAGGTGAAGATCTGTCCATATTCCCTAGCTCTTGTCTCTCCCCATGCAGGTCAACCAGACAGACATGGTTTGAGGGCTTCACTCTCTGGGGTCCAAGGCCATGGGGCCTAGAGGCCACTCCTCTGAAGGGGGAGCCAGATTCTCAGTGTGGGGGGCCTTAGATCCTAGTTCACATTCCACTCAGCCACCTACTACTTGAGCAGCCTTGGGAAGTTGTTTAACTTTCTGTGCCTCAGTTTCTCTGTCCGGGAGACAGATCTTTCATATTTCAGAGATCATCAAGAAGAAAAATGAGCTGTGTGCATTTTCAAGCTCCTCATGAGCTGTAAAGCCCTGCTCTAGAGGTGAGCACAGCCAGAGTTAAAGAGTGAGAATGATGTGGTGGGGGGTAAACTGACAAGCAAGCTTGCAACCCTGAGGGTGCTGGACATCAGGGCAGGACTCAGGTCCAAGGCTCAGCCCTGCGGCTTGGAACAGTCACCTTGGCTAAGTCACTTTGTCTCCCTAAGCCTTACCTTGCTGAACTGTAAAATGGGACTACCTAAAACAGAAGGGCCAGCTACCATTGATTGCCCATACCATCTATGCAGCTCTGCAAGTTTCATGCTATTTATTTATTGCCTTTTTGAGCCAGGGTCTCTCTGTGCAGTTCAGGCTGGCCTTGAGCTCACTTTGTAGCCCAGACTGGTCTCAAACTCACAGCGATCCTTGTGCCTCAACCTCCTGAGTGCTAGGATTACAGGAATGAGCCACCACGCCCAGCCATTATCACGCTATGTAATGCTGCTAGTTTCATCTCAGTTTTGCAGAGGAAACTAAGGCTCAGAAAATAAACTGCCTGTCTGAACTGGAAAGGGCCAAGATGGGACCGGAACTCAGGGATGTTGGATCCTTTGTCCTGCCTCCAGTCTGCAGTCTTTCAGGTCACAGTCCCCTGGTGCTGCTTGACAGGAAGGAACAGTGTTTGCAAGTCAGGATTTGAAATGTTCAGGCACAAGAAGGACCTGTGAGGACCCCAGGAAAGAGCTCTCATCCCTAGTTGTCCCTTAGCAAGGCAGGAGGGCCTCTGGTCACCCTGGTCACTCATCCACCCATTCATGCTGCATGTCAGGCAGGGGCTACACCTCAGGGATTGGGTGGTGAACAAGGCATCCCAAGCTTTGCCCTTGAAGAGCTCTCCTGTTTCCTGGCAGGAGAGAGAAAACAAGCAAGATAATAAAACTAAATGATCAAGGACAAGGGAGAGAATAAATGAAAGTGGTGAAAAGAAAGTGCTCACCTGTGGATGGGGCAATCAGGGAGCTGAAGGAAGAGAAGATTTGAAAACTGGGTTCTGAACAGGACAAGCAGCACATCCAAAGGCCCTGGGGTAGCAGTCAGCTCAGTGTCTTAAGGGACAGAAAAGCCAGTATAAAAAGGAAAGCTGGTGAGGAGGAGAGAAGTGGGTGGGATTTACCCAGTAGGGACTGCACCTAGGCAGAGAGTTTGGATTTTATTCACTATGCTGGGAAACTCGGGCAGAGGAGGGGAAGAGACTTGCCCAAAGTCTCTTCTCTGGATTAAGAGTAGAGATCTGAGGGGAGAACTCAAGCTCCTGTTATGGCCTCAAAAATGGGGCACCCCCTGGGAGACCTGGGGCCCAAGACCCTCCCTGCCTCTTCCCTGACCCCATCCTTCACAGAGAGACAGCCTCTGCGGGTACCTCCCATCTATACCATCTCTCTACCCAGGCCTCCCCCCACACTGGAGGGGGGCTCCCCAGCCCTCTCCCTGGGGCGCCCTCCCCTGCCCCAAGGCTAAAGGCCCCACTTTTATCCCTGGGGAGTTTTTTTCAGATCCCCTTTGTTACCTGAACAATAAGTAACCCAGGTAGTTAGTTATAAACTCTACAGGAACAAGGAGCTGGTTGATAATTTATAGCAACATCTCAAATTTAAATGGAAAGTAAATAGCATGCTGTTAGCATTAAAGAAAACCCAATCCCGGCGGGAGGGAAGCACTCAGCCTCCTCCCAGCCTGGCTGCCTCACTCTCTCCCCCTTCCCCTTCTCCCAGCTGGGTCTGAGCCCCTCTCCCCCAGGGCTCCCTGCTAGCCGGGCTTTTCCACCCTCGGTCTCATCTTCCTCTTCTCCTCTGTCTTCCTCCTGCTCCCCTCTGTCTCTGCCTCGGCTTCCAGGTCTCTGCTAGTCCCCAGGGAGCACTTTGACCTCAGCTCCCCCACTCGAATGCTGAAGACCAAGCGTCCCCCATCCTACCAGCCACCAAAGGGGCTGCTGGTCAAGAGGCCCCAGCCAACCAGGTAAGACGACCCTTGGCACCCCATTCCCCTCTCTGCACCCCAAAGCCCCTGATCCCACCTGGGCCCCAAGCAGGCCAGGCCCAGCCCCACCCCATCTGTTCGCCCTGGGTCTGGTGATGCCTGGCCCTTCGCCCCTCCCCTGCAGCGCAGAAGCCCTTTGCTCTCCTCTTTCTGCCAAGTCAGGGGGGCCTGACTGCTCCCCTGCCCCCTGTCCTGGGCCTCAGGAGGCTCCCAGACCCTCCTGGGAAGGCCAGGGTCCACCAGCCCTCCCCCACCGCAAGCCGGGATCAGGACCTTGGACAGAAAAGAGATGGGTTCCCCCACACAGGAGCAACCTTGGAGCAATTTCTCCAGCTCCTCAGCCACATGATCCCTTCCCCCACTGGCCCCTGGCCCCCAGTACAGCTCCTTTCCTACCCGAAGCCTCAGTTTCCCTGTCTGTGAAGCAGGATCCTCAACAGCTACCTCCCAGGACTCCTCTGAATTTTATGGGCTATTTGACACAGGAAGTCTCGACAGCAAGCAGAAAAGCCTTACAAAGTCCCTACAGCTGTAGGGACAAAGGCTATGGAACCTTTAGAGGACAGTGGTCCCTGTGGCCCCCAGGTCGCACTCCTCCACCCCAGTATCCCTGTCGTCCACTTCTACTGGGTGGGAGGTTGGTTGGCCCAGGCCTCTTCGGGCCACCATCCTACAAGTTAATGATCACAGGCCTTATCAGAGCCTTTTGCTGTTTATAAATTTATAAAACAAAAGAGAAATAATAAAGTGCGTGGGTAATTAGTAACCAGGTCAGCTCTGCTGAGTAGAGGGGAGGCATCAAGCTCAGGACCCACCCAGTTCTCACCCAGGAGATGGAGAACCAGCCAGCAGATGGGGTACAGGACGATGAGGGGGTACAGGACAAACAGAGAGACTTCTAATGCAACCTGCAGGCCAGGTGGGAGGCCAGGGCCTTGCAGGAAAGAGGAGCAGCTCCCACCCCCAGCCTCCACCTGTCTGCCTCAGGTAAGAAGGACCCGGGCTTTCCCAGCCTCCAAACCTTTGAGTCCCTGGGGAGCCAGGGAAACCCCCCACCATAATCCCAGCCTTAGCCCCACCTCCCTAATGGTGCTTCCTGGTCCCCCCACCCACCCACCCACCCGACCTACAATCTCAGCGTTTGGCAGCCAAGTTAGGAGAGTACAAACGGTCCTGGTGGCTAGCGTTTCCCAACACCCAACTTCTGGCTCTCCCTGTGTTTACACTGCGGACCCTCATGTTTCTCCCTCCGTCCCAGCGCATCCCCAGGACACTTGAACATCCCCACTTCCCGAGGCCCAGGCTGAAAGCTCCGGCTGTGAGAGTTGGGACTTGCAGAGGGGCAGGACAGGGGCAGCAGCGCAGGGCAGCCCGCGGGCTCCTTCCTGGGTGCTGGGGAAGGGGGGCCTTACTGCAGAAGGGTCTCCACCACCGCTTTCTGGTGGGCCGCCTCCTCCGGGCTGAGGTTCTCCAGCTCCTTGAGAATGGGTGGCGTGAAGTCTTCTCCATCGTCGTCCGTCTCGTCCTCGGAGCCCCGCGTCTCGCCCAGCCCATTGGGCAGCTCTGCTAGCTCCCCTCGCGAGCCCTCGCCCTTGTCCAGGGGGCCATCTCCAGCCAGCAGGTAGGGTCCCGGCTCGCCCAGGGCCTGGATCAGCGCCTCTTTGCTCAGGCCCGACTCGAGCAGGGCCGCCAGGAGCTCCGTCTGCAGCTGGCTCAGTTTGGAAACCATGGCTCGGCCACCGTGCGCCCGCCACGCGGCCCAGGGCCACCGAGCCGGCCGCCGCCCCCACCCACCGCGCGGCCGGCCGTCCACTTGCCGGTCGGCTGGCAGTCACAAGCCAGGCGCCTTGCACCCACTGCCCCCCCAAACCCCACTAGCCAAGCCCTTGGGCACCCCCAACCCCCAACCCAGGCCCCAGAGGCCAGTGAATCAGGGCCCCTGCCTGCTCTGTTTACATTGGAGCTGGGGAAATTCTCCAAGGTTCATATTTATCCGTGTGCTTAGCGAAGGGACTGAACTTTGGACTTCAGCCCTGCAAAGAGCAGGCCTCATGGCAGCCCAGGAGCCATGGCCTTCGGCGGGAGCCAGAGCCCAGCGGAGAGGGCAAGGGGCGGGCGGGGAGGTGGATGGAAGTTGCTGGGAGCCAGGGAGGCCACAGAGAGCAGCTCTGGGTCCCACCCCCAAGGGCCCTGTAGGGGCCACAGGCTGAGACGGGGAGCAAAACAAAAAAAAAAAAAAAAAAAAAAAAAAAAACCTTGTGTCTTTCGGGAGAAGGAGCAGGAAGTTCTAGGCCGCAGCACCCAAGGGCAGAGCTAGGTCATCGCCATTTTGGGACCCTCGCCCCAAGCCCAGGCCCAACACTAGGCCTCCCCCAGGAAGCCTTAGTGAAGCTTCTGTGTTCCAGGGACTCTCCCAGGTCTGACATGTGCATCTCCATTGTATCCTCCTAAGCAGCTGCCTGTAGGCACAGGGATTACCTCCCTTTTTTACACAGGAGGAAATCCAGGCTCCCCTGAAGTCAGCAAGAGACAAGAAGAGCCGGGTCAGGTGTGTAGATTGAAGAGAATGAGGCCCTTTCCCCAGCTACAGATTTTAAAGAGCACCCCCAAAAAACTAGTCATTGAGATAAATAGCTTCCTTGTGCTATATATTTTAAAAATTAAAATTAATGTAAGAGACTAAAGAGCATGTGTCCACTCAAACCTTCTTTATGGGTGTTCACAACTGTATCATTCAGGGTAGCCCAAAGATGGGGGGGGGGGGACACAAATATCGATCCACAGAGGAACAGATAAAGTGTGTGACAGGATTTTATTCAAGCCACATAGTGTGGCCCCCTCCTATAATCTCATCTGCTTAGAAGACTGAGGCAGGAGGATCACAATTTTGAGGCCAACCTGGTCAACTTAGTGAGACTCCATGTCTCAAAATAAAACATGAACAGCGCTAGGGATGTAGCCCAGTGGTGGAGCACTTGCCTAGTGTGCTCCAGGACCTGGGACATCCCCACACTGCCACAGAAGAAAAGCATATTACTTGGTCTTGAAACAGGCCACAGCTCCGATGAACCCTGAATTCACTGCCGCATGAAAATCATCCCACGAGGCCTCTTTCTACTTACTGAAATGACCAGCGTAGGCAGATCCCTAGGGAGGCGTAGCTCTGTGGCCCGGGGCTGGTGGGGGATGAGAATGGGCAATGGCTGATTCAGGGGTAACAAGCCTTCTAAAACTGACTGTGATAGTTATTGCAGGATTCTGGAAATAATACTAAAAACCGCTCTGTTGTACGTTTTAGGAGAGGCCAGATTTGATGGCCTGTGGCTTTTTTTAAATTAATGTAAATAAATCTGTAGTGAGCAAAATATCAAACTTTTAAATAAAGACAGGCCCAATCCTCACTCACCTCACCCAGCTCTTCCCTCTTCCAGCCATGAGTGTGACAGTATTCTTCAAGGGAGAGGGCCCCGAGCCCAGGAATAGTGGGCGTACACCATTTCTTAGAGAAGCAGCAGTGCTGAGGGGCTGCCCCTAAGCTGTGGCATTTCCAAAGAGCATGGAATTTTGAGGGGCCTGCAGAGCTAGGTGCCATCAGCTGGAAAAGTACCTGAAAGACAGGCCAGGAGAGCGGAGAGAAAAGGCTGCCTAGTGTCCCCTCCACGCTCAGGGTGCTCCAGGGAACTCTGCCCTGGAATCAACCTCATTTTTGCACAGGATTTATTACTTTCCTGTATCCTGGACTCCTGTGCCATCCAATATTAGTAGCTACCAGCCCTGTGTGGCTGTTGAAGACTTGGAACATGACTAATGCCTCTTGGTGAAATGATAATATTTTGGGTATTCCAGTTTAATGTTTAAAATTTTAAATTACACTAGGCATGACAAGATTGTAACTCCAATGCCTGAAAATTGAGTTACATTGTATTGTCTCAATACAAATCAAGCCAGATGGGGCTGGGGATTTAGCTCAGTGGCACAAGTACCTGCCTTGCAAGCAGGCGGTTGTGAGTTCGATCCCTGGTACCGATAAAAATGAAAAAGACAAAAAAACAAATCAAGCTAGACAAGGTGGCATATGCCTATAAACCCAGTACTTGGGAGACTAGGGCAGGAGGATCACCATGAGTTCAAGGCCAGTTTTGGAGATCCTGTATCAAAAAAAAAAAAAAAAAGTCAAGAAATAAATTGAATTAAAATTTTAAAGTAGGTAGGTGTGCTAGCATAGGCTTATAATCCCAGCAACTCATGAGGCTGAGGCAGGAAGATAACAAATTCTAGTTGTTACAAACTGGACAACTTAGCAAGACCTTATCTCAAAACAAGAGTTGTGGGGGTGGCTAAGGATGTAGTTCTGTGGTAGAGTCTCCTGGGTTCAATCCTCAGCAACACACACACACAAATTTAAATGTAAAGTAATTTTAAATTATATTTAATTTCAATTTTATTATAAATATAGTTTTAAATAAATTTGAAGGTTAATTTTAATTAAATATCTTCGCCTGTTTTTTAGTTTTGCAGTGCTGGGTTTGGAACCCAGGGCCTTTCACATTCTGAGAAGTTTCTGTACCCCTGAACTACATCCCCAGCCTTCTTTGTTTGTTTGTTTGTTTTTGAGACAGGGTCTGGCTAAATTGTCCAGGCTGGACCCAAATTTGCAATCTTCCTGCCTCAGCCTCCTGAGTAGCTGAGATTACAGGTATGTACCACCACACCTGGCTCTTTTTACCTTTTACAGGTGCTACTGGAACTCTTTAAATTACATGTTAATTTTACTTTGTATCTAGAAGCTCAGTAACACAGCACTTGCCTAGCACACACAAGGTCCTGGATTCAATCTCCAGCACCATAAAATTACATGTGTGACTGACAGTATTGGGCAATATTGCTCTATGGTTTACGTATGCATTATGCTTACCGTTTATGACCTGCCAGCACATTAGCCCTGCCAGGCATGCTGGTGAGCACCTGTAATCTCAGCACTCAAAAGGCTGAGGCAGGGGGTTCACCTGTGAGTTGAGGCCAGCCTAAGCTTTATGGGGAGTTCAGAGTCAATTTGAACTGCATAGAGGGATCTTGTATCAAAAAAGAAAAAGTACATCGGCCCCACCAGGTAAAAGCTTCTCTCTGCCTTGTTCACTGCTACATTCCCAAAGCCTAAGGCACTCTCTTTTGTACACGTGGTAGATGTCAATAAATGTCCATTAAATGGATCACTGGTTTGCACTGTGACTTATTGTGTGTTTTTTGTTTTGTTCGAGGGGAGAGGATCCAGGGATGGAACCTAGCGTCCTACGGTTCAAGTGTTTCCCTCAAAGGTCACATGTATGACGCTTAATGCCCGATGCAGGGGGTTGGGTCTGAGGCTCCGCAGTGGGGATGTGTGGTGTCCCCTCCCAGGGGGATCTGCCACCTCTCCGATCTGCACTTTCCAGCCTCCAAAACCATGCACCAAACTCCTTTCTGTTTATTATAAATCACACATCCTCCGGGGTTCTGGTAACAGCAGGTGGTAGGGGATTGGGACACCACACACACCTGGTTCTGCTCCGCGCTGTATTCATGCACTCAGTTATCAGCACAGCTCCTCATGGCGGTCTGCCACCATCCCAGCCACAGGGAAATGGAGGCTTAGAGTGGTGAAAGGGTGACTCAGAGGCCCTTAGAGCCATCTCCTCCCACTCTGCACCCACTCTCCAGCCCCTGGGGACCACTCTTCTACTCTGCTTCTATGGATGAATGTGAGGGGAAGCGTGTGGTGTCTGTCTTTCTGTGCCTGGGTTAGTGCCCCCCAGTCCCCAAGGGAGTGCCCCAAGGGAGGCGGCTTGCATTCTTGAGAATCACTCAGGATCTCGTCTGAATTACACTGTGCCCACCCCAGTTCGCTGTCCCAGCTAGTGGCTGCAGCTGAGTCCCATGTCTTTCTTGGCTCGCTAGGAAATGGAAGTATGGATCTCACAGGATTGTGTGAGACAACTTTTTATAGACAGCATCGTGCAGAGATCTCAAACTTTCTAGGTTTGGGGCACACTTAGTACCCCAGTTGTTTTTTCATGGTGTCCCTAACTATTCCCCGTTACCTCAAAAGCAAACAGTAAACCTGGCATGGTGGCACACACCTGTGATCCCAGCACTCTGCGAGGCTGAGGCAGGAGGATCACAAGTTCAAGTCCAGCCTGGGTAACTTAGCGAGAAGGCAACCTGAGTGTTATGCTGGAGATGTAGCTCAGTGTGAAGGCCCTGGTTTCAATCTGTGCACTTCACGCTGACCTTAAGTTCACTTTGTAGCCCAGGCTGGTCTCAAACTTCCAGTGATCCTCCTGCCTCAGCCTCCCAAAGGCTGAGATTATAAGTGTGCACTACCACGCCCCGCCCTGAGTTCATCCCTAAATACCTGAAAATGTTTTGACAGGATTCATGTCACTGACAGGGCTGCACGTGACTGCTCAGACCCTGGAACTAGACTGGACACTACATTTTCTTTTCCTGCTCACAATCGTTTCTGTGGGGCGCTTGTCCTTTATCAGGACAATAATGGTAAACTTCCCTTCAGGAAACTGAGACCTCATGGAAGTCTATGCGGCTTTATTGACTGGTCCAATTGTCTCCCTCCCTGAACTGGTAGTTTGCAAGGTGCCCGGCAGGTGTCACTGTGTTTCTGTCACAGTTTCCCTCCACACTGGCTGGGAACCGCGGGGCTCAGGGTTAGTAGGCAGCAGGACACAGGCTTCTCCTTGGCCTTGGGAAGCAGCACAGGAGGGCTGGCCCTGCAGCCAGACGCAGCACTTTTTTACATTCAAAGGGCTCTCCTCCCTCACAGCTGTGACTCCAGGGGAGACAGTGCCCTCACCCCAGCTGGGTTCAGGATAATACACACCTCCCTCCCCACTACTTTACTGAACAGTTACTGGAACATGCAACTTTCATCCATTTTCTCATGTAATATCTAATAATGTCGTGAGGTAAGTGCCCCACAAGTGTGTGTATGTAGCGGGGGATTCAGCCCAAGGCTTTCACATGGCTATAAGCCTAATCCTTTTTATTTTACTTTTTTTTATTTTGAGATAAGGTCTCACTAAATCACTAAATTGTCAAGGCTGGACGCAAACTGTAGATCCTCCTGCCTCAGCCTCCCACAGTGCCAGAGTTATAGGTTTGCACCATGACAACAGCTCAGAGTCTGTGCTCTTTCCTGCTGTGCTGTGTCCTCTTGGAGTTTTAGCAAAATCAACATGAAGATGGCACTGCCAATAGGCAGAGGGTAAACTCTGGGAGGTTGAGGCAGTAAGATCACAAATTGAAGGCCAGGCTAGGCAACTTAGCAACTTAATGAGACTCTGTCTCAATATTTAAAAAATTTTTTTCTTTTAAATCTGGGAATGTAGCTCAGTGCAGATACCCTGGGTTCAATCCCTAGTACTGCAAAAATAAACCAACAAATAAATAAGTTAAATGCAAATAATAAATAAATATCACAGACTCTGGAGGCTGGTTATCCAGACCAGAGCCTAGCTCTGCCACATGCCAGCTGTGTGACCTTAGGCAACTTGCTTAACTTGTCTGTGCCTCAGTTTCCTCTTCTCTAAAACAGAGCGGGTATGACAACCTACTTCTTGGGTTGCTGGAGGATTAAGGAAGTAACCACACCTACAGCATGGCGCCCGGCATTCTGCAAGCACTCCTACTACTGAAGGACTTTTATTGCATGATTATTATGACTGTTCCACTGTCTTGGGGCACTCTGGATTCTCTTTATGGGGTGGTGGTGCTGGGGATTGAATCAGGTCCTATGCTCAGCAATATCCACAGCCCTTGTATTGTTTACTATTTCTTTGGATACGTGGTCATGCTAGGTCATGAAATTGTCCAACTTGGACCCAAACTACAGATCCTTCTGCCCCAGTCTCCCCGAGCGATGTGATTATAGGCATATGCCCCCACGTTCAGCTGTGTTCTCATCTTTTGCAAAAGATCTGCATATGAGCATCAATGCCATCCATTCCACCTGGTCCGTAAGCCCCAGTTCTGGGGTTCCAGGCCATTAGTCACAAGCTTGAGCTCACAGTTTGCCTCTCATCCAGAGCAGCTTCCCCGGCCTCCACCTGTCACCCACTCCTGCTCCTGCTCATTTGTGTCAACCAGTAGAGCTCTGGAGGCCACCACCATCCCTCCCTAGAGAGCCAGTTGTAAGCATCCCTTCCCAGTCCACATTCAGTGACGCCAGAGCAGCACCACTGGATTTGAGCACCATGGAAGTGACAGGGTGGGACTGGGCCCCATGGGAGCTCCCTCCCATTCCTGACGAGCTCTGGGGACAGAAGGACCTGGGTTTCAGACTCAGCTCTGCACTTACAAGCTGTGACCGGGGAGTGGGCTACATCTCTCCATGCCTGCTTCTCGCTGTAAGTAAGGGCTGAAAGCAACACCTTCCACGGGGGTTTTCAGAGGGTAAAAGGTGGCATCGGCACTTGGAAAAGTGCCTGGCACTTCTGCTCAGGAGGTGTCAGCTGCTGAGGTGATGGTGACCGCAGCCACGATGATGATATCCAACATCCCTGGTCAGGCCCCTCCTAGGAAGCCTTCCCTGACTGCCCGCTGACAGGGATCCTCCTGCCACCCCCGGTCCTGAGCTCACTCACTCTGTCCCAAGTGTTTTGTTGCTGAATCATCCTGTCAGCTCCCTGTTGCCTCTGTGTTCCCCTTCTTAAATATTCTTATTTCCCACTCTTGGTCAATCAGGTCAAGAGGCTCTGAGTTTCTTCTGACTTGTGTTCTCCGACACACCAGTGCCTCTTACTTGGGGCTAAGTTCTGTTGCTGCTGCGTCTCTCAGGGGACACTCATTCCTGTTTCCCCAGGCCATTGCCCCCAGCCCTTCCCACCAGCCATCCTTCCTTCCACCACCCAGCCATGATCCTGTCTCTTTTTCTTTTTTTCTTTGTCTTTTTGAGACAGGGTCTCACTATCCAGTTCAGGCTGGACTTGAGCTCACTTTGTAGCCCAGGCTGGCCTCGAACTCACAGTGGCCATCCCGCCTCAACCTCCTGCGTGCTGGGATTTCAGGTGTGCACCATCACGCCCAGTTCATCTCCCAGTTGTGTCCTCACATTGAAACATCCTTTCTCCCACAAACCGTGAGCTTGCGGGGACAGGCACCACGCTGGAGTCGTGCTGTGTGCCCAACGCCGCCTGGCATACAGCAGGTGTTCAACAGATCCTTCTGGACTGAATGGATGTCACTTGACTGCTAGAATTGCCTTCCGAAAGCTCAAAGCCACAACCTTGCTCAACTTCTTCCCGAGGCTGCCAGTTTTGACAGTGTTATTTCCCAGGTGCAGGAACCGGGTGCAGCTTGCATGCTTTTGCCATATTTGAGCACCTCATGTAGCGTTATCTACTTAGTAGTTTCGCTTCTGTCAGCTCCCTTTTTCAAGTTAAACAAATATTTTAAAACAAAAGGTTTATATAATTACAGTAAACCAAAAAATATTCCTTACTATAAACAGGAAGCAGTTATGAAAGTGCTGGGTGTAGAGCTCAGTGGGAAAGTAATTGCCTAGCATGCTCGAGACCGTGGGTTCCACACTCTGCACTGCACATCAAATGAGAGAAGGAAGGAAAAAGTCATTAAAACCTGAAATAGAAGTTGCATTCTCTCTTGCTTCTTGCTTCATGCTAAGGCTCTCAGCCTGAGGCCTGTCCTCTCTTTCTATGAAGAAAATTAGCTACTTTCCAGGAGATTAGTGAGGATAGGATCAACACCAAAGTACTCAGGAAGCTGAGGCAGGAGGATTACAAGTTCAAACCTGGCTAGGCTACATAGCAAGTTCAAGGCCAACCTTAACTATGTAGCAAGACTTGTCTCAAAAACTAAATAAATAAAAGATAAACTAACATCTAACTGAACTTGTTCCTTGACTTAATCCCTTTCATAGGAAATAAAAAGATAATGTTCTCAGTATCTGACCGAATCCTCACATGTGCCACCATTTGGGGAATGCAGCAGAACAAAATCAGAACACTTGCCTAGCATGTGTGAGGCCTTGGCTCAATCTCCAGCACCACCGGAAAAGAAGACAAAGAGGAGAAAGAAGAAGAGGAGGAGGAGGAGGAGGAGGAGAAGAGAATGAAGAAGAGGAAGAGGAAAATATGTAAACAATTCTATTACTTGGCACATGGTGCATACTGGGTACAGTGATGCGGACCTCCCCAGTTACTCAGGAGGCT